CAAGGCTCGTCGCCTCAGGATCATATGACAAGACTGTTAAGATCTGGGATGCGGCGACAGGGAGATGCACGCAGACGCTCAATACTGACAGAATCCCCTATGCCATATCTTTTACTCCTACCGGCTCACATCTTCAGACGGATTTTGGTACTATCGATCTAGCTATGCCGCCGCTATACACCCTCCACCTGGCACCGTCAAGGACTGCTTCGCCAACTCTCCATCGTCAAGACTACGGTGTAAGCTCGGATGGCAGGTGGGTCACGAGGGGCTCGGAAAACTGGCTTTGGCTGCCTCCAGAGTATCGGCCGGTATGCTCGGCCGTAGCGTCATCAACAATCGTTATCGGCAGTTCATCCGGACGGGTGTCAGTTATAGCGTTTCGGACAAAACCGACGCATCCGTTAGAACATTGATCACGCACTGATTTTGTCTCTTACTTTTTCATCATAGCGTGCCACAGAAAAGGGTCCGGGAGGCACCGTTAATTTATATCCGTCAATGTTCGAGTATTTTCGAGAAACTCTTCTAATCTTTGTTATTCCTGCGACCTAAAAATCGCCAGTTCCCAGGATTCGTGATGTGGTGACGTCGTATAACTGCCCATTCAGACATCTTCGGCTTTGGCCTCTTCCGTCCGTCCCAAATCCAGCTCACCGACAGCGACAGAGGCACACAGGAAGTTCATCAAGTACCTGCCTATGTCCCGAAATTCTTCCAGCCCAAGAATGGCAAAAGCAGAGTGTGGATAGAGAAGGATGAAACTAGTCGTATGGTGCCACTTTTCAAGGGCGTAATAGATGTATTAATTTGCGTCTGGGACAGTGATACGACACACCGGATTCAATGGCACTGTGGGTTTGTCCTTCACCTCAGCGGAGAGACGGTTATTCAACCACTGACAGAGAGATCTTATTTTCTATTACCACCTTTTTCGTAGGCTCGGCGGCTGGGGAAGCGGCAGGGCAGGAGACAGTGGTGGGCGAGGAGGAGTAAACCAATGTGCAGGCAAGATAGGAGCCGCTGGGGAAAGAACCTCCCTAGTCCTATTATTCGCGTAAATTCAGAAATTCATGCATGAAGGAATCCAACACTTCCTCTGGAGGAGGAGGGACCCCTATTTTCTCCTGGTCCAGTCTCCCGACTTCTCTAGCTGCCTCTGAGACTATATGCCAACCGGGGTGGACTTCCAGGCGCCATCACATTACCGCACTCATAGGATGTAATCATTCCCCTAGGTGCCTCCTTCACGCCCGTGCCGATTCCCATTTCCTCCATCCCAGCTCTCTGCCCACTGAGACAGCTGATCGGCAAAACCAATCCATTCGGGAGGGTAAACTCTGGCGTTTGGGCCTGAGGGTGTAACGCAGCATTCTCGATGTCACGTGGAGAAAAGTCACCCACATCAGATTCGTCTCGGAGCAAGTCCCTGAAGCTTGAAACCGCAGATGCCGGCTCCGAACCGCCCCCGCATCGCCGCATCAGCAAGCAAGTGGAGCAACGCTTCTTAGTGACGGTGACAGAGTGCACTCGTTGTCGGTTTGTTGATAGACTACAATATCGGCCTACTACTTTCCTCGGCACAATTCTTGGGAACCCACCGCCCATTTCGAGAAATGTCCAGAGGTACTAGAGGCATTCCACAAGAAGGTTGCACGACTCCTATGTAAACTTCACGCAGGGCGCCTTATGGTAGTCGGTAGATGAAATAGAGCCGATATTCATATATTAATCACGTGACGTTTACATATGTCATTTTCCGGCTAGTGAGAACATTGGGAAGTAGTGCTTGAAAAGCCCTTGTTGGAAAATACGGGACCGTGATTTCAACGGCAAAAAGAAGTACCGAGTGGCAGAACTCAACCATGTTCGATGAGCCCGATGAGACGGTAGGCTCAACGGATGCGCCACGAAAAACAACGTACCTCGCGTCGCTGATCCAATTTTTCGTTGAGCGATACGCCGTACTTCGGCGTGAATGTCTCCCGACGTCACCCCCCCCTCTGTTTTACCCCTCGTTGTCATGGAGCATATCAAACCCACATAGAATGGCCTCCCCGGGCCTGAAGTGGTTATTTCAAAGCAAGTGGCCCATACATACGGTGTTTAAGATGCAGAGAGATCGCGTGGCTTTTTCACACAAGAATGGAAATTGTCAATTTATCTGAACTGCATTGCTATACAATAAAAAACAGCACAACCTACCCTTAGACCCACGGGATCCCCTGATAGTCCCTAACATCTGTTGGTCAAGGGGCGCATTCGAATCGGACGGCCAAAGCAAGATCATCCGGTTCAACAAGGTGCACGTTTGGGTTGAAGCCATCCTCACCATGTAGGTATTGCCCCGATTTCGTATATTGCATTCTCATCGTCCTTATGTTGAGGTAGGGCAAACGGAAAACGTCCTGATTTCCCGGCCTCCACGACAAGCAGAGACTTCGACCCCTGTATGTATCGCCGGAGCCGGCTGCATGTAAAAGAGCGTCGGCATCGGAAAACAGGCCGGTATTTGTCCACTCTCATCTCCTCCAGGACGGCTCCAGGTGTAGAACGGTTGCATCCCCCACCAACTCCATAGTGCCAGCCGATGCGGCGAGGTTGACACTGATCCTGCCATTGTGTCGGGCATAGCTCGGTCAAAGGGCAGTACCGGCCGTGCCAGTACTTGCACAAACCAGTTGGACTCCATTCTCGTTTGTCTCAGTCTCGTGCCACGTGGCGTCCGAGTCTCTAAGAAATTTGGTGCCGGGTATTGGAATGAGACTCTGACGTGTAAGGACATTCCGAAGTCCTCGAGTTTGCCGAGACGGACCCCAAACCACATGTCCAGATTCGGTGACAGCGAAATAGGGACCTAGTCCAAGCTGCGCTTGTTGCTGCCCTTCATGTAACTTCCTTCGTGCTAGCTCCTTGTCGATACCCCTACGGACTCGAACCGCTAACCATAGCCTGAGTGGAAACCGTGCATTGCTGTATGTAGTAAGCGGATATCTCCAACGATTCAAGTCCGTCCCACTTAGAAAAGCGGCATGGCCATTCTCGATCATAGTCGTAATCCACGGCGCCACTTCTGGGATGTCTCTGACTGGGCTTGTGAACATCTTCACGGCATTCGGCCGACGAGGCGGGAACGACGGGAAGTGCGAGCGGCTCCATCTTATGTATGTGTGGCTGCGCTGGGAAGCCAAAAATGGATGCCAGGTAACGCGGTTTCCTGGATTCCGGGAACGACTTCTTTTTCGAAACCAACTGTTCAGGACTGGGACGCTTATTGGAAGATGGTGTAGGTGGGATTGTGGATTCTGCAGCCTGAATTGATTGGAGGGAGGCAGGCCAGTGGTAAGGCACCAAGTACCTGGCTGTGACCAATCGCCCCGCACTGTCGAGACACCCGAAAATGGCGGCCCTGCCCTGCCAAATTCGGCGGCTAGAACAGCAAGTTCTGTACTTAATCTGTAAGTATCAAATACCAGGAAAATCGTAGCCTTCACGTATAAGATGGGATGTTCATACGGTCTTTCCGTGACTACAACAATCACGCCTGACAGCTCACCATGTATTCTTGGAGAAAGAAAACACGGCCCAAGAGGCTGAGGTAGAGCAAGTTCCTAGGAGATGGCGAGTCGGATACACCTACTCGCAACTGTGGAGGTTTGACCGCCGAGGCATTCTGAATCGACAATTCGACCGAGGGCAGTGGGCGAGCGAGAAAGGTAAATAGTCCCCGTTACCTCCTCGGTCAAGCAAGTTAGACTCCGCCAGAGATTTATTCTATGGCCGAGTGGAGAATGCCAGCTAACTAGGAAATCGTTGCGCACGGTTTCGTAGGGCGGGAGATCACCGGTTCGATTTCAGGTAGAACCAGTGGCGCTCCCGCTTGAGCTTTATGCCATTTTTTTGCCCATTTTTCCATCCGATGTTGCCCGGCGACGTCGGATTCTCTCGCCAACACATCAACATTCCTCTAGCTCTAGTGAATGGTGAACTGAATCACCCCTTACTGCAGATACACCAGCAGTGCCTCAGTCGCTGGTGTATCTATCCTTGTGACTCAGGCAACAAACGCGAATTCCGGCCTCATGTCTGCGGTTGCTGATGTTCAGAGCGGTCTACTGGTAGATGTGATCTCCAGCTCAAAAGGTCTCATCAATCTAAACACTTCTGCGAGAACCAGGACAATTCACTGCACCAAACATGGCAGTAACATTTGTCAACCTGGAACAGATAACATAGCCCCCCAACAATGCCAGTGTCTTGAGAGAGCGTCGCCACGCTTCAATTGCATCGCAACAGATCACATCACATCACCGAGCCGCGGTCCCTCTTATAATCCTCCAGTATCATCTCAGCCCCCTTCTCAGCAATGGCATACACGGTAGCCTGCAAGTGACCGCTAATCTGCAAGGGCATGATGCTCGCATCCACCACACGCAGTCCCCTGACACCATACACACGCAAACGATCATCCACCACCCCCGCCCTGATGCCGAGGCTACCGCCCATGCGACATGTCCCTACCGGATGCCAGTCAGTGATGGTCGTGTTGACGACCCAGTCACGCAGGTCCTCAAAGCCAGACACGTCTTCTGGCGGGAAGGCACGACGGCGAACGATATCAGCCAGGGGCTTCGTCTTGGCGATTTTGTCGGCGAAGAAGGCGCAGTGGGTCATGATGTCGAGGTCTAGCTCCCCGTGAGGACCGTAGTAGTACTTGGGGTCGATCAAGGGCTTGTCTGAGACTCTAGTTTGTGATCCGTCCGGACCCTTCGGCGGGATGTGGATGCTACCCTTGGAATACGGGTACTGGAGCATCTGCAGACAGGTGGCATATTTCTTTCCGTCAGAGGGATCGGGGGTAAAGGCGGGGTTCCAGTTGCCGAGATCGAACATGTACTCTATCTGGCCGAGTTTGGCGGAGGGGTCGAAGCGCTGGTTACGAATGGCCTTTTCGTTTCCAGCGTATTCCGTCAAGCCCGCGAGTCGCGAGACAAGGGACTCGTGGGTTTCCTTGGAGACAACATGGGAGACGGGGAGATAACAGACTGAATTTGGGAGTATAGTCAGGGGTCCGGACTTGGATGTGTTATACAGTTCCTGTGCGGCTGTGGCTGCGGCCTTGTCCAGCTTCAGGTCATCCGGATTGGCGAGTGACGGGTCGACCTCGAAGATGGTTGCGACCACTATGCAATAGTAAGAACGAAGCAACAGGAAGAGCAATCTGTCACGATGAAAAACAACGTCCATAGCAAACAATACTTACTGATATGGTCCTGCAGATGTTCCCCGACGTTGGGGTTCTCCACCTTAACTGGTACGCCGGCGCGTGATAAGACGTCTGCGTTACCAATGCCGGAAAGTTCCAGGAGCTGTGGTGACTGGACAGTTCCAGCAGAAAGGATCACCTCCCTATTGGCCAAGACGGTATGGTGTTGCCCCTCGTGCTGGAACCGAACTCCCGTGGCGGTCCATTGGCCCTCATGCTCGCTAAGGACGACCTCGTTGACCGTAGCGTCCGTTAGAACAACCAGGTTCTGACGGGATGCGTTAGGCAAGTAATACGCTGTTGTCGAATATGACCGCACTAAGGAGTCCGGGTCGACGGAACCCAAGTTCGTCCAGACGCCTACATTCGATCCAGCCAGATGGGCTTCGTTCGTTTCGACGCCTAGCGAGCTCAATGTGGCGTGCCAGAAGACGTGGGACGGTGAGTACTCAGTGGCATAGCAAATCTGCACGGGGCCAGATGTGCCAACAGCGTCAGGGTCATAGAGAAGCTTATTCTCGTGCTTGGACTGGTTATCCAGCGGGTGGTGAAATGCCTCGGTCTTCTTGTAAAATGGGCTGTTATCAGAGGAGTTCTCAGTAATGATTCGGCGAAGGCGAGAGGTGTGCAGAAGAAGTTCGGAGTGTGACAGACGGCATCTGCACCCGACATCCTTGCAAAATGACCTGCATTGAGAGGTGCCAACGACGAAGCTGATTCGGCCGCGGATCCTATCCAGTGCATGAAGCATCCTTCACCCAAAACCGGAAAGGGTCCGAAGGATTCGAAACCAAGGGGAATAGGGTAGGTGATACCCTGATAATGGGTGCAGTATAATAAATGATACTCACAGCAGACCATCCCAACCCCAGCCAACATTACCGAGTCGCTCCCAGGCATCGAAGTCTTGACGACTGGGACGATTCCATGTCATGAAGTTCAAGGCGCTGGTTCCGCCCAGGACCTTCCCGCGAGGCCAAGGGAGGCACCGTCCGGCTAGACCCGGTTGGGGAACAGTCGCAAATTGCCAGTCGTACTTGGACCCAAGGGTCGACCCGTACAGGCCGGGGACGTCAATGCCTGGCTCCCCAATCCCGACAGAGCCAGCCTCGAGAACGCCGACGGTGATTGCTGGATCTTCCGAGAGACGGGCAGCGACCACCAGTCCTGCGGTGCCGCCGCCGACAATCAGGTAGTCGAACGTGCAGCCCGCAAATTCGGCGGAAGATATGCAGGGGAGGGGAAGTGAACTCGAAGGTGACGGGCGTGCCATAGTGACCAGCTGGAGGGTGGCAGGATCGATGGCTGCGTGGCAGGGGCAGGTTTAACCGAGCAAGACCGGGTTCGATGGCGGATCATGGGTGAGGGACGAGTCGAAAATAAAATGAGTGAAGCTACGTGAGCGGGTTGAAAAGGACGAAGCCATGGGCTTCCGTAGAAAATACCTTGGTTGTATATCGGTATCCAGCATTTGTCTTGAGTCGCTTCCTTCTTTTGCCGACTGCTGAGACGCGACACGCGTAATTCCGGGCCTCTTGTCCTAGGCATTTTCGCTACTCAAAAGTGGCCTCATTGATGAAAACAGGGGCCCCGGTTGCTTGCTGCAACCGAGGCATTGCCATCTGCGTTAGTATTCTCACGCTCATTTTGCAGTACTGCGTAGTAGGGTGCAGTTGGTTGTAGAGCTGTTGTGCATTTGTGGGTCGGTTCAACCCAAGGGTGCCATGTCAGGCAAGAATGATGATGAGGGGACTTTTGGCCAAGAAACCAAAACCGCCCACAGTGCCCACTACCCCCACGAATCCACCATTCTTGCCCCATTTCAGATCATCCAATCAAGAAGCACGTCGCAAGTCTGTGATACAGCGTGTATGAGCATAACAACTTATGCCCATAGCGGGTAGGCATATAACATGTATGTAGGCACTGTACATACATTCGTATGGTTACAGGTTGCACGAGACTTGGGCAGATTTTGGCCTGTTTTGGCCCCTAATTTGCAGTTTGAAACTCACATGAGCATATACATGCTGACCAAGATTGTTGGATGTCATTATTATGCCAAAGAGCTGAGCCTGAGACCCGCCACACCAGCAACTGAAGTACTGAACTTCATGGCACACAGGATCTAGTGCCCTGTCCATAGAACATATCTAAGGTACCTAACTACTGCACCGCACGTGCTTCTCTCTTTTTCTTTTTCGATCATCTTGCATACACCAGGCCATCTCTACCCATCAAGCAATGACGAGTTCCAGATGATCGATACCTCTTTTAGACCATGTTCCCCGTGTTATGTCGACTACCATAAGCATACTTGAATCCAAGAACCCTTAAGGCAACGATTGGCCTACTTTCTGCTCCACTTCTGGTCGTCTAAGCGACTATACACCCTATCCATACTGTCTCTGTTTTGGCTATCCTGATCATCGACCGCCGTGATGGCGGACTTCGTCCACACACTGACGATAGAGGCATGGACTCTATACTCTGTTGGAGTGATACTCATTACAGCACGACTGTACGTCCTTCCAGCTCCGTTGCCTGAAACTGATACGCCTCCGAGTCAGACGCGATGAGAGAGGGCTTGAAGCTAACTTGCCATGATGGGCAGTTTCTCGAGACGGCTAAAACTGGGCTCTTGGAGGTTGCAGATTGAGGACTATCTCATGGTCTTTGCAGGAGTCAACTTCACAGGGGTTGTCGTCTCTGTCCTTGAGGTTGCCAAAAATGGCAGCAATTACATGTCGCTCGAGACCGCTCTCTCCCTCGACGCGGACGGTGTTGCTCGGGCTGTCTACGGCAGCAAAATGACGATGGTCCTCGAAGTCTTTACTCTTACGTGCCTTTGGACGATCAAGGCCTGCCTCTTGTTCCTCTACCACAGACTTACGTGAGTCTACCTTGGCAACACACCATCAGCAACAACGGGTGGCCTCTTAATACTGACATATCCCTCATCCATCAGAGAAACATTTCGCAAACAACAGCTGGCGGTCAAGATCATTGCTTGTTATTGCGCTATCGGCTATACACTCGTCTTGGCCCTTTACTTTGGGTACTGGTGCACTCCAATCTACGAGTACTGGGCCGTTCCAGTCAGGATATGTATGTCCGGTTGTTGTTCTTGTATGCTCCTATGTTGCGGCTTTCACCGCTGACGCAGCACACAGCGCAATGCGCAACATATTATCACCACATGATGCACGCCACAGCGTGGAACATCTCGTCGGATCTAATGTTGTTGGGCGTTCCGATTCCAGTCATTATCAGGTCGCAACTACCATTGAAACGGAAAATCATTCTTTGTGCTGTGCTCGGCCTCGGTGTCCTCAATATAATCATTGCTGTTCTCAACCGATATTACAACTTCAACAACCCTGACGACCTCGGCTACGTGTACTTTTACGTTGCCGAAGTCGCGACGGCTGTTTTCGTCGGCAATATTCCGCTCTGCTGGCCCCTGTTCCGCCGCATTGTGCGTGGGAGCTCCTGGAGCCGAGATGCTTCTTCGGGCAAGACGGATGATCCAAACAAGCCACGGACAAGGACTGTCAGGACAGTAGGCAGTCGGTTTAGCAGGAAGCGGCCCTCGGTACACACGTCGCTGTGGACCATCACACGTGGCGGCAGCACGCAGTGGGACAAGATGGACGACGGGGAGGGGAATGAGGCGAGCAAGGAGCGTGCTTATCGGAACGAACTTGGGGTGGTGGTCGAAGATCAGAGCAGCACCATCGAGCTGACGCCAGGGTGGCATCAGGAGGCTAACCACACGTCGATCCACGCTTCCCGGACCAGGAGCTCGGAGAGCGATTCGGCCGAGGAGAGAACGGACAAGGGACAGGTCAACATCATCAAGACCGTCGAAATATCGACAGCCAGCGAGACCCAACGCTATTCACATGGTCACCAGGGCTCTCATGCGCTGTAAGTCCACTATCTGCCTGTTTGATACCGGACTGTATATGAGCCCCTGAAAGATGGCCTTTCTTTGCATAGAGACCACACCACTGTGACACCAGGAAAATTCCATGGACATGAAGCGATGGACATATGAATGTCGTATACGAAAACTGCTTTTTTTATGTGACTATTTTTATTTAGGGTGATCCATGATGGATGGCGTACGGAGATCGAAAATTTGGGTACTGAACCATCTAATGTAGTAGGCAGGTATCGTTCGATATTGATATTAAAATGAAACTGCACAGGTAGGGAACCTGTCTCTGCTCTGCCAATTCCCACACCCAAAACTTAGTTGGTGATATTGACTGGGACCAGGATCCGGAACCAGGATGTTTCATATGTAGCGAAGTTGATGTAAGATACCAATGTTAACACTCCAACGAGCCCGTTCTTCATGTCGCGTATAACTGCATAAAGCTGACTTACACGCTAGGTAAACTTCGCTAAAGGCCTATCCGTCTGCGCGACCCCACTTGCCGCGGTACGCTAGCGGTCCGTTTTTAGCTGATGCTTGTCGATGCTTAGCGACGGTGATCCAATCGGAATGGTTCGTACTCGGCCGAGATCCACGCTAGCGATGCGGAACCGAAGGAAGCTCGTCCCCGGAGGGGCCAGGGCGCTACCTTACCGGGTACCCGTTACGGGGGTATCTTGCGACTCCTCAATTGCAAACCAAATTGCGAGCCCTGGGAATCGCTAATCTCTCGTCAGGAAAAATAATCTGTTACATTTATCTTTTGTCTGGCGATGATGGCAATATCGGATGTCCTCACTCTACGTGAGATTCAGACTGACCTTGGTCTTTACAGGTACTAATAAGTCTCCTGCGGAGCGAGCCACTGGCCGATGCCCGAGGCTACTGCTACTTGTCGTACTCAAGCTCACTAAAACAAGGCACTTACTGGTAAGCTACTTGTGCACGAAGTACCAACGACAGCAACAAATCTACAAAGTCCTTGACGCTATCGAATCCTTCTACACTTTCTAGTAACGTTCTAGGAAAAATATCCGGGATGCATGCCCTCATCCAGGAGGCAGGGATCCATACTGCAGGTCTGCAAGTCAGTGCGAGCTCATCCCAGGCTGGGACCAGTCAAAGTGAATCCAATCCGACACATCGTGCGATCTAATTGTCCATTTCCAACTGCCCTGCATGCAGTATGATCAAGGGCCACCGTGAGTCCAGACCATCCCGTCATAGGTATCTCGTCCCGGTCGTTAATACCTTCCCCCTTTGTCGTTGTCTGTTTCAATCTTCTCTCTCCTCATCCCTGAGCATTACATCTCTTTCCTCCTCAGTTCTTCACCGGTTGAGATATAATATTGACCGGGCTTTATTGCACCTATACAAGGGGCCGTTCCCGTCCTGCGCCCTGATCCCGCAGCAACTTCAGGTATCTGTGGGTGTGTTGCTGTGATACCACCCTGCATTTTGCAGATCCAGATCACCCTGATTTTCTTTCGTCCCGAACACTTCATTCTCCTTCCTCTGCCATCTCACTTCCGCACTCCTCCCCCCACCCCCAAGCCGGCCCGCGCCCCCAAGAATCAAATCCCAAGCCGGAAAAGGAGGCTGAGAAAAAAGCGGCAGCCCCAAACCATGGCGTCGGGACCGCCGGTAGTAGACGTCGAGAAGACGGCCGAGGCCGTCGCTACCCGCACTTCGCAGTCGGACCTGGGGAGCCACAAGAACGAGGCCGCCGTCAGCAGCAGCAGCACCGTGCCCGAGGTGCACATCCCGGCGCCGAGCAAGCTGCGCCAGCTCAATGCGCGCATCGAGGGCCTCTCGGGCTTTGAGGCGCGCGGCATCACGCGCGTGGCGCCCGAAGAGCGCAACCCGCCGTCGCTGTGGGACGACGTCTCGGTCGCGCTGCTGTGGTTCTCGGCCAACATCTCCATGAACAACCTCGCCGTGGGCCTGTTCGGCCCGCTCGTGCTCCAGCTGGGCTTTCTTGATAGTGCTATGTGTGCTGTCTTTGGCGCCCTGTTGGGGTCGCTGTCGACGGCGTACATGAGTATTTGGGGTCCGCAGAGCGGGAACCGCACCATGGTGAGTTGAGTTCCCACTACCCGTTGCGTGGATCCGGATCGTCGATCGATCGTTTTAACCCCGGATCTGCGTGATCGTGGCGTGGGGCAGCCGCTGATCGCAATCCTCTTCCCCAGGTTGTGTTGCGTTACTTCATGGGGTACTGGCCAGCCAAGATCCCCACCGTGCTGAACATCATTCTTATGGTATGAACCCGTGAAACTTGCACCTCTCCACCAGAATACCGGTCACAACTGTTTATCTGACCTGACTCCAGGTCGGCTACTGTACGATTGATGCCATTATCGGAGGCCAGATGCTCTCCGCCGTCAATGGCGGCGGCATGTCCATCGTGGTTGGCATCATCGTTGTCCAGATCATCAGCTGGATCGTCGCCGTGTTTGGAATGAAGTTCTTCCACGTCTACGAACGGTAAGAGCCCCTTCGTCGCCTCGACACGGGAAGAAGGAGCGAGCACTGACCAAAGTACCCCTACCCTGCCCACCAGATTCGCCTGGATCCCACAAATCCTAGTGCTCTTCATCCTGATCGGCGTAGCCGGCCCCTCGTTCGACGCCACGGTCGAGTCCGTAGGCGACGCACGCGTCATAGCCGCCAACCGCCTGACTTTCCTCTCGCTCTGCCTCTACGTGCCCAACTCATGGGGTGCCGCCGCGTCCGATTTTTACGTCTACTACCCCGAGAAAACATCCAAGCTCAAGATCTTTCTCATGACCCTGACAGGGCTCTGGCTGTCCTTCACGCTCGTCTTCCTGCTCGGCATCGGCCTCGCGACGGGGCTGACGCACAACGAGGCCTGGGCCGAGGCTAACCACGTCTCGACCGGCGCGCTGCTGGTGGCCGGGTACGGCCCGCTCGGCGGCTTTGGCCGCTTCTGCGCCGTCGTGCTCGCCCTGGGCGTCATCGCCAACACCATCCCGGGGACGTACGCGGCCGCGCTGGGGTGCCAGGTCATGGGCCGGTACGGCAAGGCGGTGCCGCGGTGGGTGTGGTCGTGCGTGCTGATCCTGGTCGAGCTCGTGCTCGCGCTGGCGGGGCGCGAGAGTCTCTTTGGCATCATTTCCAACTTTGTCGCCCTCATGGGCTACTGGATGGAGTTTATGGTCTTTATCGTGCTGATGGAGCACCTTGTATTCCGCCGCAGGGGCGGCGTAGGCTTCGACTGGGCCCGCTGGGAGGACAAGGCGTACCTGCCCATTGGATACGCGGCGCTGGTGTCGTTCCTGCTCGGCTGGGCCGGCGCCATCCTGGGCATGTACCAGGTCTGGTATACGGGACCGCTCGCCGTCATCTCGGGCCCGGCCGACGTCGGGCTCTGGATAGGGACGGGGTTTACCATCGTTTCGTACTTGCCGCTCCGCTGGCTGGAGTTGAAGTTTGTTGGGCGATAGATAGGTGCAGTGGATATACCCCCTTCGTGGTTCTTGAAGAGCTCACAGTCCGTTAGTCGTTCATCTTGGGTGTTTGGGGGCTTTAGGCCCCTTCTGTCGAGAAAACAAAACATAGTGGAATTACTACTGCAGTCTGACCTGCACATTGCGATGATCAGGCGCAAACGATTTTTGGCCTTTGACGATCAGAATCTGTTCCCGATATAAACTTATATGGGAAATCGTTAGTGTCCCTTCTTTAAAAGTATCGTTAGAATTCGGCTTAGGAATCCATATAAATCATTTTTAAGGGGGCGATTCAGGGGCTCGCTGCCCCTGAATAACTCTACGACAAAGTATGTGTAACCCTAACCCTAGGATATAGCTTGACGAACAGAAATGGGTTGGATGAACTCGCATTTCTTGGCAACAGCGTCGGGCACTGCACAGTACGCGCTCTTCACCACTCCTGCGGTCCGCCCCTCCTTCCGGGTCGAATGACGTCGGGTCAGGTATCAATCCTTCTGGCCGCATCCGCCGTCACACTTTTTCATACTTGATACCGCCTTTGACTACGCCTGCGCATATCAGGGGACCAACAGTGCAGAGCCCCTGGTCACAGCCCGTCACCGCTCGCTAGACGCATCTTCAAGCTTGCAGCCGGCACAACCTACAAGTGGGACTATGAACTCCGACTCGCTTTCCAAGGGTCTCGCGAATCCCCTCGATGAGCCCGCCACGTCTGTTGATGAGTTAAGCCGGAATCGAGTCTTGCTGGTATCGCTCAATCTTCAGCCTTACTTCGACGAGATGTACAAGCCCCTTTTAGACGAGCTTGCCTTGAAGTCTCATCTCCAAAGGGTCAAGTCTGCCCCGTCCGCCATCCGTCTGCTTTCAGAACAGCCTGCACCTACCGCGGTCCTCGACACCGATGAGGCTCTTACCGAACCCGAGAACGCCGGTGTTTGGGAGAGAGCCTTGCAGTATGTACGCCAGGGTGGCACTCTTGTCGTCATGGGGCATTTTCCCGCCTTCGTGCGGCCCTTGGACATCAAGCCCTTCTTCGCCAAGGCAGGCTTACCGTGGGAAGCTGCCTCGTATCATAGAACAACATTGTCGCTTAACCAAGCGGTGGTCAAGGGGCGCGCGGCATCGGAGCTTCCAGAGCAGTACAGCCAGAAGGCACTGGCTGTGAAGAATGTTGCACCTGGTGACGTGTGGTATCACACTACAACGGATTCGGTCATGGAATCGAGGGTCTTCTCCCCGACGAGTGTCCACAGCCTCAACGAATCGCCAGCCGTCCTAGCCAAGGTCGGGAGCGGGAAGCTTGGGTACGTGGGTGATGTGAGCAGAGGAGGAATCCAACCTTGTCATTTTGGCAATGTGTGGTATCTTCGAACCGTGATCAACGGGAGGGACTCAGGTTCTAGGTCTTTCACTCTGTTGTCTAAAGCATCATATTCACACACGAAGAGCGCGGTCCTTCGGTCACTACTGGTAGACATAGCCAAGTCATGTTAGCGACGGGATACTCATGTCTCATGCCAATGTTTTCATGATAACAACAGTCGAGCCTGACAACGCGCCTGCCGGCAGACGTGTGAAGAGTTGCCCAAGCACATGGTCTTAACTCTAGGCAGGGACTACCGAGCCGAGCCTGAGCCGTGGTGAGCAATATTACGTACTTCATTTAAGATACCTTACGAAAATAGAAATTGGTGCGCCCAGATTCGTCCCATGTTAATATTCACCTGATATCGTCAACGACAGAATTTCCTCCTCCTGACCCCGGCCGTTTGACGACCAAAGTGCCTATAGAAATGGAACCATCTGCTGATACATTTCGTTTTGTAGCAGTGGGCTCGTATCTACCGGCATTGATAACAAAGTAGCCATCAACAGAGCCCGATATGTAAAAAGATCGTCTAATGGGTGTAGGTCTGTAGCAGGGATGACGAAGTTGTCGTCCATCATCGTTGTCGGTGCCAGCTGTTGGCTTCCGAATGTTTGCGTAGGCTCTACTAACTCCCATATCCGGATGGCTTTGTGGAGCAGGTGCAGGATGTCCTCGAGGGACGAGTACGTCCCTTTGCTGTCCTCTAACCCTGGAATGGCAGAAGCACGTGAAGCTGAATCCAAGCCTAGCACCGCTATAGCGTCGTTGAGCTTCGCGGTGAAGTCCTCAAGCTGAATCCTACCCATTTCCCCACTTTCCGAGCAAAAGAGTCGACTGAATATCCGATATCTGTAGATTAGCAACTCCTTGATCCGCGAGACGGAGGCCGCCGCGTCCTCCGTGCTCCCCCCGCGATCTCTTATTTCGTCCAGAAGCAAGTCAAATTTGCCGGGCATAGCGGTACCATTGTCGAAAAAGATACCAAGCGTGTCGCAGCACCATTCAAACCAGCGGATGATCTTCATGAGTTTTTAATGCAGAGCTGGCATTGCAAACTCGTTGGCTTTGGGATACCACTTGCCAGGCTGGAGTGTGCTGCCGGTGGAGCAGCGGGAGGTGGAGATAATGGCGTCTCGTCACGGAGGATATTGTGCATTAAGGTCGTGACTGTACTAAGCGCTATTTGCCGGCACATCTTTTCGTATGGGGCGTTATGCCCTAGCCAACGATCGATGAGGGCTAGTTGGGTAGCCAGACAGACTTGGCTGTCCCCCAACGCACATCTTGTCATGGTCTCACCGGTCCTGAGAAAGATGAGACATTGTACATATGCTTCGCGAATGCACAGAAAAGTGCCATCGGGCTGGGCCGCCGTCACATCAGATAGATAATCCACCAGTCGTTCCTCGTCACCGGGGGGAAATTTCCAGCCGGACAGCAGCTTAGGTGTGACTGTGAACGTAGACGGGACGACCCCAACCGCAGGGTCTCGAGACCAGAAACGGCTCTGAAGAACTGGGATCTGCGATTTCAAGTGTAACTCTGCTTGCTGGGATGAAAAGCTGACAATAGGAGAAACTCTCAGAGAGCTCAGAGTAATAGAGTTCAATATAACCGGGGGAGAGCTGATCATGAGTCCCAAGGGACAGCGGGAGTCGAATGCGAGAATGGCTATATCTTTACTCGGTACTAGGTCATCGTCCTTGTTAGATTTGGCGTAGTATCCGCAGCAATCTGGTGACTGGTGGACTCCTGTCCTGCAACGAGGCTGCCCTGATCGGCTTTGCTCGGCTTCGTGCTTGACAGCCCGCTTCATGAGGTTCAGGATTCGGTAGCCTTGGGCCCACCTCTAATAAGCGATCATGCTAGCGCCAGGGAACATGAAGGCTCCTGGAGCGCAGTCTTCCGGTTCAACCAGCAGCATCCAGTCTGGACCTTTGAAATCGAGGGGCACGTAGCCGAGTGAATACCGTATCAGAAAATGAAGATTTCCGTCAACTTGGGAGAAGCCACCTCCAACCCTAGAGTTGAATGTTATCCGAGGGCTTGGATACGTTTCGAATGTGGCAACGGTGCCTAGAACAGCATGCTTCCTCAGCCGCAACTGGAAGGTGTCCTCACGAACCATCAAGAACTCGCTGTCCTGATCGGGTACCAGCTTGCAGTTACCACCGGCTTGGGCGATGGCCAATGTTATGACTGCAGCAATGTTGCCATACGCCGGAACAGCCGGCAGCTCCTGCGGTAAGTGATCAGCGCTTAGAGGTTTCTTTGCCCACAACTCAGGCTTGTCGAGGCTCAATCTTGATAGTAGAGCGTTCCAACCCGCCGGCTGGTATTCGGATGACTCGGTAATGGAGTATTTGTGCTCAGCCTCGAAGCCGTCGGGGCTAGAAACGACGATGACTGGCGTTTGGGCGACGGAGCGGAATCTCCATTCCTGCCAGTCAAAAGATCGCTTGGTAAATTTGGCCCATGGTCCGATGGCATAGCGGCTAGCCTCGAGTCGGCCCGGACCGGCAGCGAAGAAGGCTTGCAAGATGGCAATGCCGGCAGAGCAGGCGGCGACGACACCGGTAACGGCGGTGAAGACAAATGAGAGCGGGTCCCAGTTGAATTCGGCGTTCTTGTCTCGCACTTCGTTGAGAAGTGCGACAACTGCCTGGAGAATGCATTCTGTGTTGTTATGAGGACAGTCGATCATATCGAGGTTGGAGCTCATATTGAAAGACTGACTCCACTTAAGCACCTAAAATAACCTTTCGACGATCAGCAAGGGGAAGGAGAAAGAGGGGAAGCGTCTCGCCAAGGGAGGCGCGAAGCAGCGAGGGAGGTAGGTAGGCAGGTACCTTAGCATATTTCCCTCTTCCGGTTGCAGCGGCTAGCAAAAAACCATTTCATTGAGTTAATTCAGCTGCAGCATCCCCAGCTGAGTTTCAACTGCTTATGTCAACTTGAGTCGATTCCCTTACCTTCTTGAATTGAGCTCTTATGAAGCCGGCGTCAACTTTAGAGACTCGGGATTCGGATTTTCGGAGATGCTTCGCTTTACCTATGGGGCAGGCTCGGTATTCGCACTGCTGCAATGGATGAATATGTACATACGCAAGGACTTTCAACTCAGCGACTCCCCAAGTGTCCGGGGAGATCCAGAGGAAATGAGGTATTTTAAATTAAAATAAAAAAAAAATAAAAAAAAAATAAAAAAAAAACGAAAAAAAAAGGAAAAAAAAAGGGAAATAGTTACCTCGTGGCCGGTGGCGGACCGAAGACATGCCAGCATTGACAATGCCCCCTACCGTCTTCATGCGCATGTGCATTCGCACAGCCTGATCCTGCCTCAGCGCAGCCCGGATCCTTGATCAAGACGTGAATTCATTAGTCAATACCTTTAATGTTGATAGCTCACAACCGTTCGCTGAGCGTCTCTAGACTCAGGATCTCTTCAGGCCGTAGACTGAGTCCCTCAGGGATCAGAACCCGCCCCCTGGTAATCACAATAGCGCCATCCCCTCCGACCTCCACTTTTGTGTTCGTCCTGGTCAGCTCAGCACCAGAATCCTCATCCTCCCGATTCGCAGCCTCAACATCCCTCTCACTCTCTCCCGCCGTCGACGCCGTCGACGCTCCAGACGACACCTCCTGTCCCTTCCCGCCATGCCTCGGCTTCTCCCCTCCCCCTCCAACCTCCCCTTTCCTCCTCCTCCCCTTCCAAAACCCACCCGTCTCCTGCGGCGACCACCAATAAAACGGGAAGCGCCTCTGCACATTATTCACTAACAGCGCGACAGAGAGCATCAGACCACAGCCGAGTAGCAGCGGCAGCAAAACGAACCACCCGAGGCGGGTGATGTCGTCGTCGAGGACGGCCAGGAGGGCGGTGGCGCCTGCGGGCGGGTGGGCGGTGCCCGTGAGCGCCATGAGTGCCGTGGCCGACGCGCACGCCAGCGCCGCGCCCAGCCACCGCACGGTCTCGAAACGCGGTGAGAGCGCGAATAGTTTGGCTATCGCCACCCCTGTCACGGCGGATATGACTTGCCCGAGAACCGCGTTGCGCGGCTGGGCGAGGGGCGATTCGATGGCGTAGAAATCTAGCACTGCCGCGGCGCCCTGCCAGGTTACAGGGGTTAGTAAAGGAGAGGATATCGGGGGAGGTGGTCGTACAAAGCTGCCGATGACGGCTGGCACGCCAAGGGTCTTGAAGGCTGGTATTTGCTGCGAAACGGCGCCTATGATGGTCAAGCTGCTGAAGACGCCGATGAAGGCCCAGAAGATCACGGCCACATTGCCGAGCGGTTTGGGAGGGTGATGGGTCCGGTACCCGAGGAAATGAGCGACGGGGTGCGGCAGCCGGGGGAGGATCGACGCCGGGCAAACGGGGTTGAGGTAGCTGTCGATATCAAAGTGCCATTGCGACGGCCCGCGTCTCGGCGGTGTGGGCGTCATTATTGTTGTACAGAAGGATGCCCTACGAGTTCCCTTCGTTTTCTATCCCAACAAAACCGAGATCAGAATGAAGTCATGGATATCGAGTACAGTCTCGCGCCGGGCTACTCGGACAGTCGGAGCGGGCCACGGAGTCTTCGCAGAACCCGGGATGATCCAAACCCGACTTCACGGCGAAAAGAGAGGATGAGAGCGATTGACGTGCTCGACAGCTCTCGATTCTATGACCACTCGGCGCTCGCAAATCCTCCAAAGAGACAAACCAGCCCTTCCGGGCCCGGGAGGATGGACGACGGGGTAGTGCATCTTTAATAACGGCCGTGCCTTCGCCTGAAGGCCGATTTATTAATACCAAGATGTTGCAATCCACAGCGGTAGTGGCACGATGACCTTCGCTCCTACCCGGAAGCCGACACTCGTGACTAACAGTTTGCCTGTGAACCAACAGCCGGGGTGGCTTGCGGCCCGGTTGATGCTCCAAATTTACGTCAGATTTGCTAACAGAAACTCGTGGATTGGTCTGTCGCCGTCCGCTTTGAGGCCCAGGTACCTCGGAATCCGTGGCCCTAGCGGTAGGACAGATCCAATGCAGATATTTCCGCGGATGACGGTGCCGTGAGACAGAGTGCTGGTTTTGCTTGTTGTTCTTTGTCGGTTTCCTGGCGGTTCCATCGACAGTGAAGTTGCCAACGAATGCGTTAAAGGGGCAAAGCACGATTGTTGACTTGAGCTTTGAGCAGCGATCCACTCGTCAAGCTTTTTCCACCGCAGCTGCCGAACAAGTGGCGCCAGGGGGTGGGGCAGCCATTGAACTCCACTGGGGGCGCCAAATCACGTCAGCGGGGAAAGTTTAACCGTCCCGTTTCGTGGTCGCCGCTCAGGCTTGGCACCCTCCAAGAAACACTCCATCTATTCTCAAGAAACAACGAGCTGCATCTGAAGCTTCCAGTTGCACCAGCTACCGGTTGGCGGTAGCCGTTCTAGCAGCGATCCACTTGATGGTGTACAGATACCTGCGGCCGTTTTTTGAAGCGCTCGCAGCTACAGTACTTTCAGTTGGGTTTGCACGTTGCAGAACGGCTCGAAGTTCGAGGTCAAAGCTGCTCTGCCTTGTATGAGCGTGATGTCTCAAATGTGATGTTTTATTAGACTTATTAAGGTAAGTACATCCTCTGTCTATGTCCGGGCTGCTGGTTCCCCAGGGACAGCACCCGACGCTCACGTGTTGACCCGGGACGACGGAAACTATTTATCAGGCCATCTACATCTCCGCGGCGGCAAGGTTCCTGGCGATGACTGTAATGTTACATTGCCACGGGCGAAGAGAGATTGGTGTTGAAGCTTTGGCAACCACGCTGAAGCTGGAGGGACGTTGTGTGTCCCTTCTGGGGTGAGTGGTCTGACACCACCTTGAAGCACTCGCCTTGCTCGCGAAATGGTATCGCTGGCAGAAGGCGAAAACCTTTGACAGACGCCCTACTGCATACGTCTATTCTAACCTGACCTCGCAAGCGCCTCGCTAGATACCAATTCATGACTGGGATGATGGACCAGGAGAACCGTCCACAGGACAGCCTGGTTACGCCAGTCAATGGTGAGACGAAACGAAGTGGTACTTGTTCTGGCCGTGCAAGTGTAACATGGGTCCGGACGACAAGATCAGGTCGACCTCTTTCAATCCCAGTGGGACGTAGGATGCAAGGTGAAGGGAATGTATGGAAGTGTCAGGTAGGCAATTATCCTAGATATCCTGGTCAAGAATTCTGGACCAACAGCTTCACTAACTGCTCTAGAATGCCTACCGCCAACGATACCTACTCAAGCCGGCCGGCTCGAATCGTCTCATCCCGAGATTGCCTCAGAAAAGGCATCAGGGCCGTCCCTCCCGTGCCCGTCAACTTCCTCGGGGGTTCACCCTCAACAACCATGGAAGTATTTGTCTTCGACGAAACAGTCGCCAGATTGATCTTGCCATCCATATCCGGTCTACTCCGACCCGACGGGATGAGGATGTACTTGGCCACAATCTGCAGGTGTTTGCTCCTGAGGTCCGCGAGGGCCTTGGTAGCCTTCTGAAAAGCCTCCCGCAGGTCCAGCTGCTCTTCGGTGAGCGGCCTTTCGCCGGGCACAAGCTTTGCAACCCCCCGTCTCATCCCGCCCGGATAGGATTCGGATACACGCTGCAGGAACTTGCGGTGCGGTTCCGGCATGTACGCCCTCACTTCCTCGAGGTAACCCATCTCCTTCTTCTCTTGTCTCTCGGCCGTAGTTGCTGGCTGGTCCGGGTTACTATTGCCGTCCGCCTTGTGCTCAACGCCCAAGACAAGATCCAGAAACTGGATCAGGGTGCTCTGTCCGTTGCTTCCTCCCCGCAGTTCACGCCATTGTCCTTTCCCATTACCCTCGTCGTAGAATACCCCCCTGGGAAGGCCGGCAGCGGCCATATTCTTGCTGCCGGCTAGGAAAGGGCGAATTCGGTGGTAAAACACCGACGGATCGCACCTCTCTTTCATGCGGTCAAGCAAGCCGGTCAATTTGTGAATGCAGTCGGCGAGCTGAGAAAGGGCGTTTGTGATGCTGAGGTACTCTTGCTGTTCGATCCCGTCAAGGGCCTCGAGCATGACGGGGATGATGCGTGCTCCCTCGGCCTCTATCGCGACTGAGACCATGTAGAACCATGATTCGTCCTCCGTGCCGGTGAATGTGTTGACTGCGTGGATTGAGTCGAGGTCGGTGAAGTCTTTGGAACCATTGGTGGTCCGGAAGTTCCATAGATTGAGCGAGGCATAGGTGGCTACGGGCGGGAGGCCGAGATGGCGGGATACTTCCAGGAAGGGGACGGTTATTTGGGGTGGTAGAACCTGAGACTTTGTTAGCCGTCTAATGCCTGGGATCATAAATTCATTCGGATTGCTCACCTCGGCAGGTGTATCATCGCCCCATATGTAGGCGTGAGCGAGGAAACTCAAGACGACATAGGCCCGCCTCCATTCCGGCTCCGTTTTCAAATACCTTGTTGACCGAACCGGCAACAACCGATCAACCCAGTCGCGAAAGGCCTTCTGCTGAATAAGATTCGGAATCCGATCCACCAGGGCTTCCCAGAAATAATAGTAGTCTCTCGGGACTCGGAGTCGTGGTAGGGGCTCGTCTTCAGGTAGGAAGCCATTGTTGGTTACCGAACACTGTCGCAGCAGGATCTCCCGGTGGCCGATAGAGCTTTTGAGTTTGGGCACAAAAAGGCCTTCGTAAGGCGACATGACTGATGATTCCTCAGGCGGAGGAGCCAAGAAGAGCCCAAGAGACAGGTAGAGTAAGACGTAAAGGCACATGCAGGAGAAGGATGAGATTGTGGAAATTTGAGCTCAGTGACAAGTAATGACAAGTTTTGTCTCAGGGTACTGCTACATCAGAGAAAACAAGCGTTGGCCGGCAACGGCACTCGGCTTTAAATGATCCAGTAGGAGACCAAGGCCCGACTTGGGTAAGGTAGGCCTTCCCAGTTGTTCTGACGTGTTTGTAGGTCTCGGCGTTTGACCGCGCAAGGTCATCCGCACTTTGGTCTGATATCCTTCCGTCTGCCACATCCCTGTTATTGACGGAAGTAAAATGCAAAGACGCGCTTCGCAAGATAAGAGAACTCGTGCTCAGCATCGATTCGCGGCTGGGCAAGTATCCTAGTACCGAGATTCGTCACCCCCTTGAAAGATCCTTGAAGGATTCCTTTGGGGGAACAAGCACATTCAAACGCCGAGCCATCCTTTTCTCGTTGATTTGGCTATTTTCGTTTGTCAACCGGGACGGAACAGCGGATGACGGAAGACGGAAGCGCGGAAGCGGGAAAATGTGGGTCCTCGGCGTTTGTTTTGGACCCACTTGCCCCGGTATTCGGGCGAGGACCGGAGGGCGCCGCATGTAGAATCGAGAACGCTAGTACCAGTATATATTAGCGAGTGTTCGTTTGCTTTATTCAAAACTTCCCGCTCAACCTGATCACATATCCTCCTCTACATTGCAAAACGCAGTCATGGCTATCGAGTACCAATCCTTCGTCAAGACCCTGCGGTCAGGGCTCAAGGCTGAGTTTCCGCCTGAGGCTAAATCCATTGAGTATGCGAAACAATTAGACGCAAGTGATGAACTTGGCTCTTTGCGAAACAATTTCATTATTCCCACCAAGGTGTCCTTGAAGAAGAAGGCACTGAATGGCTTTCTGCCAGGTCCGTCACGCCCACATTCTTTTATTCTTCGGAATGACTCACTTGAGTTGACCTTTGAGACTGACAACTCGTCGCCAGAAGAGTCCAAAGAGAACAATGAGCAAACCCAAAAGAGCAGCATGGCCATTACCTCCTCAGAAGAAACCTCACCCTCCGTGTACTTTGTCGGCAACTCTCTTGGCGCCCAGCCAAAGTGTATCCGGAACTACCTCGACACACAGCTAGAGACGTGGGCTTCACTCGGCGTCAATGGTCATTTCAGCTCGCTCGAGAAGTCGCCGCTGACCAGCTGGCAAGACCTGGCTGCAGATTGCGCCCAAAAGTCGCTCGACCTGGTCGGAGCTGCCTCGCCCACCGAGATCATCTACATGAACACCCTGACAGTGAACCTGCATTTGATGATGGCCAGCTTCTACCGCCCGACTGAGAAGCGCCACAAGATCATTGCCGAGTGGAAGCCATTCCCTAGTGACTCGGTAAGGTTCCCTTTTCCTTCAGCCTTTCCAGCGCCCCTCTGTTCCGATCTCTGGTACTAACCCTCATTACCGCAGTACGCCATCGCCTCCCAAATCCAATGGCACGGCCTGTCCCCGTCCACCTCCCTCATCGAAATCCAACCCGACCCAGAAACAAACTACATCCCCACCTCACGCATCCTCTCCCTAATTTCTGAGCACGGCGATTCCACCGCCTTACTCCTCTTGCCCGGGATCCAGTACTACACGGGCCAGCTATTCGACATACCCCTCATCACCCGCGCCGCGCACGAGAAAGGGATCACCGTCGGATGGGATCTTGCCCACGCCGTCGGCAACGTGGAACTGTCGCTGCACGCCTGGGACGTCGATTTTGCAGTCTGGTGCACCTACAAGTACCTCAACGCCGGTCCGGGGGCCATCGCGGGCGTGTTTGTGCACGAAAAACACCACGGGCCGGCTGATCCGGATCCGAGTTATGCAGAGCTTGGCTATAGGCATCGCTTGGCGGGTTGGTACGGTGCGGACAAGGCCGTCCGGTTCAACATGGAGAAGGAGTTCCGCCCTGCGGAAGGTGCCCATGGGTTTCAGGTGTCGAATCCTAGCGCCATAGACCTTGCTTCGCTGAGTGGGGCGCTGAGTGTGTTCAACAAGACGAGGATGTGCCAGTTGAGGGATAAAGCGTTGGTGTTGACGGCGTATTTGGAATGGTTGTTGGAGGGACTGCTCGCTGGGAACAGCGACAAGAATGGACAGCCGGCGTTCAAGATCATTACTCCTGGAAACCCGCTGGAGCGGGGGTCACAGTTGAGTCTGCTGCTGAAGCCTGGGTCGCTGGACAAGGTGAGCAAGGCGCTACAGGAAGGTGGGGTGGTCTGCGACGCACGGAAGCCCGACGTAATCCGTGTTGCGCCGGTGCCCATGTACTGCCGGTTTGAAGATGTTTGGCAGTTTATAGAGGTCTTCAGAAAGGCCATTCACCTGTGAGCGGCAGCTTCATACAGCATAGACGGGATACAGTGCCTCCCTATAGAGATGGGGAGTGATGTTTATCTCGAAACTCCTTGCCTTCTGCCCATCGAATCGCAACCCGTGACCCTAGTAATCCCTGGATGCTGACGTGGAAAGGTCAGACGTAGGTTCGGGAGGATAATGGAGATGAGGGTGCCGCTCCGTCGGGGATCCTTCGCGTGCTCTTGCCGGAGTCAGGGGTAGAATAAGGCTGCCTGTACATACCAAGGAAAAGGTAGAGTTACAGTCGAGACCAGTAGCACAGTATATGTACATGCATCTGGCATGTCACACCTTCCCTGAGAGAGTGGCGGGATAGAAGAGGTCAGGAATGGAATGGAGGCAGAACTAATTTCAAAGGCAAGCAAGACAAGAAGATGGACGCGTTCCCCACCACTGCGCCGCTTAACATTCCAGGTAGGGATGTACAATAAAAAGACGAGAACGATATAAGCCATCAGGCTTCATATACCCAAGGTAACAAGCCAGGCATGTAACATGAGAGAACCCAATAGAGCATATACTCCTGTCTCACTGCACCAACGCGTGTACAGACTCCATGGCCAAGCAGAGGATAAACAAAAGAAAGGCAAAAAGAAGGACTGTCAACCATGGTTAAGGCCCATGCGCTAGAATGGGAGGGCGTGCGACCCTTCAGCAGAGTCCGACTCGGATCCCGACTCGGGGAGTCTGGAGTACCTCGGATCGGCCGTAGGCCACCAGGCTCCTTCCAAGACATCCCTCACATGGCGTCTGACATCCAAAGCACCGAGTTGAAACTTCTGCAAAAAGCCTGGAAGACTCCAGATATCTGTTGCTTTTTCTATCGCGGCGCCCCAGTTGACAACGACAAAGAAGAGTACAGCGGCAAGGAAAGCCACTGCTGTTGAGGCCATCAAATATCGAACGGGGGTGAGTTGAAAGCCCAGGATGTCCGGCGTATATGATAGGATGGCCATCAGGGCGAATGGAAGGAATGTGAGACCGATGGTAACAAGGGTGTTGGTCCTCTCTCCGTTCCGGTTGTTGTCGATCGCGAGGAGCTGTCAGTGACTGTTAGCATATGGCCTTGCCGCGGAGTCAGGACAACTGACGCTGTAAGTGCAACTTTTCAACATTTCTTCTTGCCGTTTGAGGGAACTCTCAAGATCTTTGAGCTCCAGGATGGAGTTCCTGATGTTCTTGACCATCATCATCGTGTTGCTTGTTGGGCCGTGAGGACCCGCGGGTGACGTGTCACTTCCAAGGTCGAAATAGACCATATCGTTCTCCTCGAATCTCTCCCAAGCGGAGATTGTTCCGGAAAGGGCCTGTATAAGCTGTTCCAGAACCTGAATGATTTCGTGAGAAGTTCGTTTGGCACTACCCTGAGCGGCAATCGATGCATCCATAGCCTGCAAAGGTTAGATCTGCATTGCATCCAGAAGCAAGGGAAGCTCACATAATGCCTGAGAGCATTCAAAACACTCTGTCCCGTATTTTGCCACTCTTCCTTCACCTCCTGGACGCAGCACTCCATGACTCGGAGAAAGTACTCTCGTGCTGTCCAGATAGGGGTATCGGCGGCATGCCGCCCCCCGGTCAAGGGATCCATCATGATCTCTCCCTGGGTGGGCTGGTAGAACCGGATATCATGCCTGCTCTCGCCTCCGTCATGGTAGGTGTCAAAGAATCCGTAGGCGGTCCAGTGGCGGTTGTCCACGCCTGCGATCATGCACGAGATTTGGGCCTCGTGAATGCACGCCTCGCGTTTTCCATTGAGCTCGCTCAAGAGGTTGACACTTCTGCCACGTCTTAGCGGCCGTCCGTCTCTGCCTAGCCGAGCATCAAGGTAGGGCCTGCGGGTCCGTCTCCATGCGAGAAATGGTAAGTGGAAGGAAAGTTGGAATCCCTGACTCCCGGCTGACTGAGACGATTTAAGGGGTTAGAGACTTTGCTGACGCTCAGAGAGCAAGGAGAAATGCTCACATGGAGTTTTACGTCCATTCCGGACTGAAGTGTCAGGTGTTTGTAGACAAAATCGCGAAGGGACAATGCTTGGTTCTCAGAGGCCGTGGACATGATCGCCAGGATGCTTGTCGGGTCGGGATTCGTCACATAACTGAAGTGGTTAGGCAAGCTTCATGGGCTTCGGACTCGGGACCACCTTACATCAAGCGTCTTCTGGGTGATGACTGATCTGTCTTTGACTCCGTCTCAATCAGCTGGGGTGTAGCTCTCTGCCATATGTGTGAGCGCCAAGGGAGGACCAGCACCCGGAACGAGAAACCTACTTCTCCAAGCAACAATGCTTCGTATAGCTGGCTGCGGCCGACAAAGTGTACCCCGTGCATCCGTGGCTGCGGGAACGATGGCGGCGACCTCTCATCAATGATGGCAACCAACTCGGGTGAAGTCTCCTGACCGCTGGAAAGTGCCTCGAATCTTGCGTGAGCGCAGAAAGCCCAGATTTCATCGGAAAGATAACCCCTTGATGGCTCGCCGACATCTTGAACAAAGGCTCGAATAATCCTCTCCATTTTACCAGAGTTTTGGCCTTTTTGCATCTCCGCCAAGTGCAAGCAGTACGGCTCGTCCTCTGCGGCATACATTCCTATGCGGTCGCACCCGTAAATCTTTGGCCAGCCGGACGAACTGCCCTGTCCCTTTCGATTAGTCTTCCTTCGGCCCTGGGCTCCCCTGAGTCTGCCGGAACCGGAATCCACAGCACGTAGGGCAATCCCAGAGCCCTCCTCATCTTCGGTGTCATTGTCCGATACGTCCGGAGACTCCCCTGAATCGAGCCTCAGCAGTTGACGGAACTCCGAGGCGAGGTTGTTTCCCGTGGTGTAGGCAACGAACGAGATTGCAGGCGACGCGGGAAGGAGATCCCAGACTACCAAAGGTAGCTCGAGAAGCAGCACGGTGGAAAGGCTAGGGTAGATAGCCGGGATCTGAATGCCCTGAGCTTGTTGAGGTGCGTTAAATAGCCATTCCTTCCATCTACCGACGTCAACATTCTGGTCTCGCAATCGACAAGCGACTAGAATAAATGGGCCTTCTGAGAGACCTTGCGGTCGGGATGCTGGAGGGTTCAGGAGCAGAAAAGGCTCCTCAGACACCTTGGGGTGCTGGGGAGAGAGAGGCGACAGAATGATGGTTCTGGGTTTCCTCGACAGAAGACAATGAATCGGCGTTCGTCGGCTTGACCTTTCGAAGATTGGCTGACCAGTGTAGCGGTCCACCTGTACGAGTGAGTAGGTGTTGTCTGTGAAACATACGTTAGGTGTCCAAGCCTGCAGCCGGTTGATCAACCGCCGATGAAGCTCAACAACAGAAAGCCAATCGGCGGTATGGGCAGCATGTGCAAGCTCCTGAATTAGGGAGGTGGTGAACGAGTGCTTTCCCACTTCCGCCGCTCCCGACTCAAAGTCTCCCGCTGCAAGAGTCTCAACGACTCCTTTCCCCATAGAAGCTTCTCCAGCTTGGGCTGCATGACAGCAGTCGTGCAGTAACAGGACATCGCAATCGAGGTCGCCGAGAAGCGAGTGGATTACGGAGGACTGGACTGTTGGGGAGTCTCGATTGCGGCTGGCGTCAAGTCAGCGGTCAGGAGGGAGGGAAAGGGGCTGATAGTAGCCTAATACCGGGCAGACATACTTGGCTACCCACACAGCACTGCCTCCAGGCTGCTCGTTTGGTCTCGCATGTCCGCCATAGTACAGTATGATGAGGTTCCCTTCCTGGCCGTAAGTGTCCACCAACTCGGCAATCTTCCGTGACAACCCAGGGGCGGGCCGCTTTGAGGGTATTGTCCAAATCTCCGTGTCGTAATGATACAAACCCCTGAGGACGGCTTCCAACGGCCTCAACTCGGCCTCAACGCCAAGATCGTCCTTTTCCCAGCTCATAAACAAGACCTTGACCTGCTTATATCGCGCACCATATCGGTCGGGCCATGCTGCCGAAACTGCGTCTGTAAGGTGGGAGAGGAGAGAAGAAAAGTCCGGGATGCAGTATCCCGCCGACGACGTATCGTGTGTCGGGCTTGTGATAGATGACTCCATGGCCGGCTGCGAGAGGACGAATCGTGCAAACAGAGAGAAAATAATTAGTATACAGGCCAAACTGAACATAACGGCAGCATGAGTGGCAGGTGCCTGGCCGGCTCCAGAAACCAACGATGGATCTGGAGTCGGCCGGACTCTGCTATTAAGGCCTCAGATGCTCCACTTGGCCAACGACCACACTGGTTTGCGGTGGGTTCGATAAAAACCGACATGAACATCCCGACAAGTGATTCGGTATCTTCTCCAGTAGCTATGAGCCACAGAGTAAACATGTTCGCAGGTGTTTGGATCGGGCGTAGATCTCTGGCGACGTGTCACAACAGGGCAGGGGCGTTGTTCTAGCAAGGGTAGCTGCCGAGCTGCTTCGTGTCAAGTCGCGACTGCGATTCTGGGCCTTGCATCCAACAATCCTTGGGGAATTTGCGTTGCTGTGGATCGCTCTTTCTCCACAACGCCAGCGGCCAGCCCCGTCGAAACTTTCATTTTTGGGCTGGGGTCATTGATTGGCCTAAAGCACGGTAAGCACCAGTTGCGTGGCATCCTGGCAGCCTCTGGCAGGTCTTGGCCCTGCAACAACTGCATCCAAAACTCTCACCGTCGGTTGGACAGAGGGTAACCGGGAGTTTGTTGCGAATTCGAGTTCTGGATTCGTCGCCCTCAAAACTCTCCAATGCGATGCCGAGGATAACAGCTATCATGAGCCATGCCAATACCAGCTCCATTCCACCTCGGTTAGTAATAATTCGAGATCTCAAAGAGGGGCGAGCTTGCGAGGATGACACGGATGACATTCCCGTAACCACTTTTTGCTACCTTCTCTCCTAGGTATAAGTTCTGTTGGAGAGCTTGGCTGATATCAAAACAGGGGTACGGTCAAACTGAGGATGAGCTGCAATTGCCCTCAGTTTCAACTCAGGCGCGGGTGCCTTGATTGAGGCCCTGCTCTTACCTGGAGGTTAAGAGAAACATGAGTCTTCGGCAGGAGATTTGGCGTTAGTCGGTGTGTAAGTGCTGGATTTCAAGTTCCAAATTCCCTTCCAAAGCTCTACCCATGCCACGCAAGAAGCATCTGCTCAGCCTCCTCCGCATCGCCATTCGCCGAGGAGCAAGCCTTTGCAGTAGCTTAGCATGCACTGTGATGGAAATGCAGGTTACTGTATCAATAATGCGTGGGAGAACTTCCGATTTGTCCCTGCAAGAAACCTATCCGCCGAAGCCCCGAAGTCCGAACGGAGAGAACAAGGCAGAAAAAGCACCCACCGGCAGGAACAAGTCCATTAGACCGAGGGAGAAGCAAGCATGAAGAGCATACAAGTCAACAGCCATCCCATCTGCTCTCCAGTCATGCACCTTGAGCCCTCAATTACAACCTCAATCAACGAGTGGAGAATGGGGATTGGACATGCGGTTCTGATCCTTCCCTGTGCTCGCCATGTCATATCCGCCGAGCCCATATGCTTCCCATTCAGCTCCTCGGCGGGAGGCGAGAAGGGTCATCAGGGCAAGGCCAGCGACCGCACCTCCTCCGCGCTCCATTGGGGAGCGACTCCATGAAGTCGTCTTTGTATTCGTTCTCTGCCTTGCCCAGTTCCTCTCATTGGCTGCGATGAACCAGACGGTTGCGCCCATGTTGATTCTCGCCGACTTTTTCGACATCCATGACTATGGCAATCTGAGCTGGTTTTCAGCAGCTTTTAGCATGACTGTTGGAACATTTATCCTACCCGCTGGTGAGACTCCTGGTTCTGGGAGCTCACCCAAAATTCTGACATGCCTTGACCAACCGTGCAGGAAGACTGGGCGACATCTACGGGCATAAGCGCATCTTCATGGCCGGGTGGGCGTGGTTTGCGCTCTGGTCGCTGATCGCGGGCTTCTGCGGCGAAGCGCAGCTCCTCTGGTTCAGCACATGTCGAGCCTTTCAGGGGATTGGGCCAGCACTGCTGATTCCCAACGCCATTGCTCTCATTGGACGTAGTTTTCCAGTCGGGCTCAAGCGCAACCTTGCCCTGGCGTGTTTCGGAGCTGCTGGGCCCACCGGCGCTGCGCTCGGAGCGGTGCTTGCAGCGCTCGTGTCCGAGAAGCTCTCTTGGCCTTGGTGCTTCTGGTTGCTTGCCATTACCTGCTCATGTCTGGTCGCTGTGTCTTGGTTCGTTATTCCGGAGCCGGAAACTGCTAACGTTACCACGGAAATTCGAGGCAAGCAGCCAAAACACGTGCAAGACGGGGTGCTTTTCGACTGGCCAGGGGCGATAACCGGGGTGACGGGGCTGGTCCTCGTCAACTTTGCCCTCAATCAAGCTCCTCTGGTGGGCTGGAGCGAGCCGTATATTCCGGCACTGCTCATCTTGGGTTTTGTGTTTCTGATCGCCTTCATCTACGTCGAACTCCGCGTCGCTAGGCATCCCATCATCCCTATCCGCGGCCTTCAACGCCATACAGTGCTGACGCTGACCTGCGTATTTGCCGGATGGAGCAGCCACGGCATCTGGGTGTACTACCTCTATCTCTTCCTCGAGCACCTACGAGGCCACAGCGCGCTGCTCACCTCCGCAGAAACTAGTCCGGTTGCTGTGACGGGCATTTTCTTCGCCTTCCTCACCGTCTGGCTCATGCGGCGGATATCCGTATCCTGGATCATGCTCATGTCAATGTTCTTTTTTCTGCTCGGCAGCATGCTCATTGCAGTCATGCCTCTGGATCAGACGTACTGGGCCAACACGTTTACCGCCATCCTCTTGATGCCTGGGGCCATGAACTTGTCGTTTCCGGCGGCGACTATTCTGCTGTCTACAGATCTGCCCAAAGAAAAGCAAGGCATTGCGGCCAGCCTGGTGGCCACCGTCGTCAATTATAGCATCAGTTGTGGATTGGGGTTTGCCGGGTCCATTCACAAATACTCTCTCGAAGTCGCAGCGGCCAAAGCTGGCCTACGGGGGCCGCAGCCTGCATTGTCGACCTCGGACACACGCCTGGTAGAGGTGCGGTTGGTCGGTCTGCGGAGCGCCTACTGGTTTGCAGTTGCGCTTGGAGTGCTAGGTATGCTGATTGCGGCGCTATTCATCGTCATCCAGGGTGAGGCAGGGTCGGAGAATGGGAGGGAAGAGGAGCAGGAAACCGGTGGAAACTACAGCAACAGCGTAAAGCGAGGTGCTGATTGGAACAGAACAGACCTGGAGACAAGGCGGAAGAGGGGGGGTATAGAGGTCAAAAGGACTTACTACCTTGGTAACAAAGTGATCAGGGTGAGTGAAAGAGAGGACTTGGGGGTATAGCGCTTGGCACAAGGAGCAGAAGCCAGCCTTAGGCTTCTCGAACTCACTCCAGATATGCTACAAGTCCTGTCCTTCAAGGTTGGGGTTTGTCGGTGTCGACCTCAGCCCCTTTCTGCTGATTAGTAAACAGGCTTCCCGAATCGGGGCCCTTCGATGACTTTCTCCTCCGCCAAGCAACGAGGAGTGATCAGTTGCAGAATGCTGTCCTCAGCTCCCACTGCATCCTGAGGACTTACTATCCTGCAGATGGCTCTGAGTAGTAGCATGCCTCGTCAAATACACCCGAAGAAGCGCGGCCTATTACGATGGTTGTTCTTGACTTTTTGATTACCTCCCTGCGACAAAACGACCTTGCATTTAGCGTCAGCTTGGCGACAGCCATCTCGGCACTCGGGCAAGGGTCTTTCCCGAACTCATGGAATGACATATCTCAACTACTACTAGGGACCATGGCCAGGATCTCTACGGTATATTACAGTTTCAATGCAGTGCCGTGAATGCATCTCGCAATGACTCGTTTTTCATGGCAATATTGTCACTGCACTGAGCCTTTACGAATGCCCGGACCCCGGGCCTGCTAGCGCCCCTATACAAATTACAATCGAGAGATATCAATTCCGCCATCATGGCCATATCATCAGACCCCGTGGAGAGGTTTGACCGTCTTCTGAAATCATCAACCTTCCTTTTCCTTCTTTGTAAGCCGCCCTGACTCCTGGTTCATATTCTTGTTTGTAACCGCTAGGATCTTCAAGACTACCGCGGCCACTGGTGCCCCTTTTGCATAGCCCACCTCAAGGAGCTCGCAGCCCTGGCCAAGGACATCAATGCCGCCGGCGGTACGGTGGTTGCGGTTACGGCAGAAGCAGGACCGGAAGCCCTCGCCAAAGTCCGGGCGTTAACAGGGCTCGCCGACGAACATGAAGTGATCGTTGACCCTGAGAATGCACTCGCTACAGAGCTCAGGCGCAGAGGGCTCCTCGACGTGGCCGTCTCCGACTCGCAACTCTACCGCCTGCGAGGGTACAAACACGGAATGGCCCAGCCGGCACTGCTCGTCGTCAAGAGTGATGGCACCGTGCTCCAGCGGTGGGCGATCAAACCTTCCTTGGTGAGTACTACCCTACCTACCATGCACTGCATGTGAGTTTTGGCAGACCAAGAAGCTGAAAGGGGGTTGAAAGATGAATCTAGGTGGTGCTAGTGACCGGCCCGTGCTGGATGATGTGTGGAAAAAGGTCGAGAAGCAGCTCCAAGGGGTGGATGCTGGTGATTCTGAGCAGTATACCACAACCGGCGTTTTCCATCTTCTAGCACAGAAGATGGTCGGGAGCAAATAGGTGGTGTATGATACGCGAGTTGTTCTGCCCGTATATGTGGGCATGGGCAGCTTTAGGGCTAGGGTTGTATATGGGGACTGCCTATGGATGGCGGGTACATTGCCCGCACCCCGGTGATCACTCTTATCGGGACCTGTAAACAACGCTGCTTGTTACCCTTCACAAACAGTCTAAGTGACGTTACAATGGCAGACACCATGCACCCAGAACAGCCACCTACAGGTATCGATACATCCGGACATGTTTCGAGGTTCGCTACATGCTCGGTACCTGGTTGTGGACAAGCAGGTGTCCGCGGAGCCAGTTGCGCGACTTGCCGGATGCATTTATGTGCCAGGCATCAAGCTCGCCGATTCCACCGGTGTCCCTCCGCCTCAGAGGTAATGTCATCGCATGGTGCTCTTTCGACCAGGGCAGTATAGGAAAACCCAATTACTAACTTTTCCCAGCTGGATGATGAGGCCTGGGAGAAGGCAATAAACGATGAAGTTTCCAATCTGCTTTCCCAGCTAAACCATCAGGCACTGGTCCAGGTCACAAGCTCTCTACGTGGAGGCAAGCCATGCGTGTTTATGCCAGGGCAGCACCTCGGCAGCGGCGCCATCATGGGGTGTGCCAACTATCATGCTTGGCTCATATTCGACGACGGTGAGCGGTGGCTTGCACGGATACCGCGGACCGGATTCAGCGATGTACCTCCCGAGCTGGTTGAGTACTTGGTCTGCAGCGAGTACGCCACCCTCAAGTTTCTCGAGACAACCAGCATCCCCGCGCCAAAGGCTTTTGGTTATGGTCTTGCCTCAGATCCGACCAACCATGTAGGGGTCAGCTATCTGCTCATTGAGGCTTTGCCGGGCCGACCTTACCAGCCATGGAACGCCACTCCGGAACAGAGCCGTCACGTCCTCAACCAGGTGGCCGACATGATGATTGAGCTCAGCAGGCACCCGTTTCCCAAGGCGGGCTCTCTGCTGTTTGTCGATGATGAAATCCAAATTGACAGAGTCGCGAGCAACCGCTTCATCCACCTGGGCTGCTACGGACCTTTTACCACGACTGCTGATTACTTTGGCGAAACAGCAGCACAGTATATCAGCCTCATTCTCGATGGGCAGCTGCACCACCGTTACCCATTGGAAGCATACCTTTTCTACTCACTCCTCCAATCCCACGCTGCGGACATGCCTGGTGCAAGCTCTGAGGCATTCTTCCTGAAACATGTGGACGACAAGGGAGACCACTTGCTTATAGACGATGACTATAACGTTGTCGGTGTCATTGATTGGCAATTTGCTCGGACCGTCCCGGCTTGCGAAGCGTTCGGCCCTTCTTTGCTCACTGCGGACTTGAACGGGCTCTACTCCCGAGAGTCAACAATCAACCCCAATGACAAGGCCCTGGCTGAGGCATTGCGTGAGCGGGGAAGCGATACCCTAGCTGCGCATATGTCTGAAGGAGACTTGGTGAGGAGGTTTCAGTTTGGTATCCCTGGAGGTATGTCGCAGGCCGAGGTCCGCGAGGTCCTGGCGGGTGTTTTGATCAGTGTCGGAGCCCATCCAATCACGATTGATGTAGGATCATGGATTGAGACCAAGCGGGAGGAGTTGGCTAAGACGAGCACTGGGAAAGAACTGTTGCAGAGAATAGAGGAGCTGCTCAAGCTACAGGACTGGTAGATAGTCGGTTTGCGAGCTGGTACAGAATAAGGTATCTTCCTACAACTGTATCAAGCATATGCCCTAGAGCGCTGTAGTGTGCATCACGGAATGCCGATCTATCCTCGCTGACCCAGCAGTGAGCAAGTCGACGCAGGCCGGACTGGGCGCCACAATCCTACACGGCTTGCCATCCTGCTCATCAAAGCCCTCAATGGCCACAAACACACCTTCACCAAAATCACGATCCAACCCGGCTTGCAACTCAGCAATCGACGACTCTTTACGCGAGCCTTCACATTCACAATTGTCGCGGAAAACGTCACCCAACGTCACCTCGCCTTGAGGGGATACTCTCAGCTCTCGCAGCTCAAAGGCAAACACCACCGGCAACCCTTCCCTTTCCCCTTCCCCTCCCCCTTCGCCAAGGCTAAGCCGTCCATCAGACTGGCAATCAGGATCAATATCAGGCTCGAGCTCCACAGCAAGTTCAACACGGCAACCGCGCCGCCTCGCAGACGGCACTGTCACGCCCGCGCCGCTAATCGTGCGGATGCCTGTGACCATGTACAAGCAGCACACCGGTTCCGGGGAGGCACTCGCACCCTCCTGGAGAGCTGTGTGTACCGCCTTGCGCTTTAGCGCGTCCGAGGGCTCGAACCATGAGACGCGCAGCCCCCTGAAAGAGTAAGCCAGCAGGTTTCTGCCGAGTCTCCGGTCGATGTGGAAAGTGAGGCTATCGTCTTCGATCCCGAGTCCGGACAGGGTGAGGAAGGTGTAGAAGAGCCCTTGGCCCGGTCTAACGCCGTTGGTGAGAGTTCCCGTGTCCCCGAGGTTGTTGTTGTTATTGCCAACCGTGCTGGAGAACAGGGGTATTTCCTTGACTTGGATGGGGGTATCAAGATCGTCTGGGGACGGTCGAAAGAGGGTGAGATTGGGTTCAGCTGGGTTGGTGATGACGCTGCCGAGCGGGATGGAATTCAGGGGACAGTCCCAGCCAGGGGTCAGGAAATATGTAGTCTTGGAGCTTGGGCTTGTCATTCTGTTCTGAGTTGTATGTTTTTGTTTGTTCAAGTTGACGTCCACGAAGTTGCGGTGGCGAAAATCAGATCCAAGTTTGCATGTGCGAAGCGGCGATGAGCAACTTCATAGGCGGTTAAGTTGATTCCTGGTGGCCTGATGTGGGATGATACTTTGTGTGACAGCCCATATTTGCCGCATGCCGCAACATAAGGCTTCGATCGTGAAGGTACATACATGCTTGAGAATGATAAGCACAGGCCCCCTTATGTTCCGATGTACAGTACTAGAGACCTGTGCCTTCGGCTGAAACCGCGTAGAACTACACCCATCGTAAATGATAAGATCTGCTCACCTAGTCATGCGTGAATTGTTGTCGTTCGAGAGGCTCGTTGGCGCTGAGACCGGGCGGTTGGTTGGGCATGCGTCCGTCTTGCTCGGGCAATCTCTAGAAGTCGTATGACACAAATGTGCCCCAATGAGGCCGACTGGATGTCGATGTGACTACCTATCTAACCATCCCTTCAGGTTGCTTAACAGCCTTAACTTCTAATCGTGTGGCGTCGGCTAGATAAGTGTTGCATGATACCACAGAGTTGTGCTTTCCCCTCGATCTGCATCACAGCAATAAGGTTGAACTCCAAATATATAAGATAGGGGTTGTAGCAAGAGAAAGACGGTCTGATTTGGTCGCACTGTGGTAGGAACGCTGAATGTTCATGTGGCCACGTCTTCCTGGGCCCTGTTCTAATTATTCCATGTGCTAATTGGCGATCAGTCCGAGCCTATCTCTGCCCCCCTATCATACCTTGGACGTGGCAGCCGGTTTGAGGAACGGGATGTATAAAGCTAAGTACAAGTCTATCCTCAGTTCCACCGAGTCTATAGTCGTGGCTAATATACTGTGGTTCCCCCTATGGGACGACCATGAAGGCAGCTTGATGTGAAACCCCAGCTTCGCGGTCACACTGGCAACCAATCTGACAAATAGGTCTATGGTTGCGTAGGTTAGCTGAGAAGTTCCCTAATGTCTTCGATCCGCTGCATCTTCTTTTCTTCGTCGGACATCATGCCGAGAGATGTTGCACTAAAAACGGGTCAGCGAGACATCACGAATACAGAGAGCCCCCAAGACCACCTACATGAACTTCTTCCGGTCCTGCACCCTCAACATCCTCTGTTCGACACTGTCCTTGACGATGAAGCGGTACACCTTCACCTCATCCTCCTGTCCCATTCGATGAACTCTGTCAATTGCTTGTGCTTCAATGGCGAAACTCCACCAGGGGTCCATCATGTAGACCCGCTTGGCGCTGGTAAGGTTCAGTCCAACGCCGCCGGCCTTCAAGCTCATGAGGAGAACGGTGAATTTCTTGCTCTCCTTGAAGTCGTTGAGCACGTCTTTGCGAGCTTTTTGAGACATAGACCCATCCAGCCGAAAAAAGTGCATGTTGACCCGGGCCAGTTCGGGTTCGATGAGCGACAGGAACGAAGTGAATTGACTAAACACGACCGATTTGGTTGTGGGTTGGTTCCTGCGGAGTTCCCGCAAATGATTGATCAAAGCCACGACCTTGGCCGAGGAATGGGCAACACCAAGCCGACGAAGGCTGATGCGTGGGCTCTGATTAGGCATGCCGACGTCAGCATCATCCTCATCATCATGCCGCACAACCTCAAACAAGTCGCGCGAGTTGATGACCTCGCGGCATTGGAAACAGCGGGGAACTTCGTGGCGGTCCGTTTGATGCTTGATGTAATCCAACAGACAGTTCTTGCAAGCGGAATGCCAACATCCAGTGACAGTTTGGTCGAGCATTGGTTCCTCAGCACAGATGGGGCACTCGTTAACCGCCTCATCTCGGATCTGGCCCAAGACATGCGCCCCAAACGTGTTGGAGTCGGCAGCATCATCCGTCGTAGCCGTGAAGCGCTCAATCAAGGACTGTAAGTCCATATCATCAGCCAACCCGGCGGCAGCATCAGCGGCAGCGCCGGCTTCTTCTTCGTCGGCAACGATGTCCTGATGACGAACAAGGATTGGATGACAACATGATTGACGAAGACGGAGAATTTGTGCAAAAATGCTGGTGAAGGCTTTCAAGACCGTTCCCGCTTCGACATTGGCGTAAAATGTTCGCTTCGCTCTCTTGAATATGTAGTCATAGACGTCACGCTCCGCTTTGGAGAGCTCAATGTCCACAATCTCTATCTGCTTCGGGGGCAGAGGAACAAGGGCCTTCCCGTCCGGCGTCTTCATATCCTTTGTTCTTCTCATGACGAGTGGTTCTAGGACCGTCTGGACAACGTCTAGAGCCCGCACAAAATCCTTGGACTCGAATGGGACCGTGATAAAAGTCCGCCAAAAGGAGAAGTTGTTCCACGGCTCGACTCTGAGAAACCTGACAAGACTGAAGAGGTCTTCGAGTTTGTTGACAATCGGAGTGCCTGTCAGCACCCATCGATGTTCTGCGGCGATTTCGTAGCAGGCCCTGGCCGTCTTCGACTGACGATTCTTGATGGTGTGCGCCTCGTCTAGGATCACGCGGAAGAATTTCAGCGAGAATATGCCACGGCTAGTGGCTCTGTTGCCACCATTCTTGGTGGCGATCTGACTGAATTCGGAGAGCACCACGCCATAGCTGGTAATAATAAGATCCGGCGCGTTTGCAGCATTGGCGCCGCAACACAGCGCCTGTAGGTCGACATTCTTCTCATTCCCATAGTATACCATGGATGTCAGAGTTCCTTCACGTGAAGCATTGTCCGCCTCGCTCTGCCACTGAGCAAGCAGGGACATGGGGGCGACGACCAGAGTAGTGCACGGGGCGTCTGTAACGGTATCCCGGCCCGAAACAACAGGGAGTCGGGGAAGTTGATTGACTGATGAAGGCGAGCCGTTGGAATTTGACTTGCGCGCCTGGATTGCTGCGTCGGATTTGTGTGTATGGATCAGGCTCAGCATCTGGATCGTTTTGCCCAGGCCCATCTCATCAGCTAGGATGCCTCCGAGGCAATGCTGTTCCTGACGGGGAAACTCCAGCGACAACTCGCCAGAGTAAGGATTAACGTAGAAGGCGGGCTGATGGAGGATTTCCGGGAGTTGATTGTCGTCGAAATCCTTGGTGGGCCAGACGTACTCCTCCCACAAAGGGTGCATGGACGTCTCTCGCTCCTCGTTTCGCACATCCTTTTCCTTTGCCACCATCCAATGCAATGATTGCTTCTGGTACGGACGCAACGTCATGGCAAATGTTTCAGCAGGCTCTGCTTCGGGTGTATTGAAGTCGAACGACTGCGCCTTCTTGTAAAGAGCATCGAGCTGGTCTTGCTCGAGCTCCTGGCCGTCTTCGTTGTCGTCCGAAGGAGAGGAAGAAGCAGCACTATCGTCGTCTGGAGATTTGAATTTCTGCTTGTCCTTGTTATCAGCCATCTCGGCTGCGTGGAGGAGGCCCTGCCGCTGATTCTTGGCTGCCGCTGCATTCCCTCGGCTGGGGAGGAGATTGATCTCCTGGAAGAGCCTGACAAGCGCAACCTGTCTTAACCGCAAGTCCTTCTCCTCAGATGTTTCAGTCTCCCCAAACCGGCCAGTGGTTCTGTTGTCTGCGCCTTGGAAGCCACCTGCAAAGAATGCGGTCCGTAAGAGCGAGCACCGAAGCTGTAGGAAGACGGTGTCATTGGTACGCAGTCTCTCAGGTGCGTACACGCATGTTCCCTCGAATTTGCATATTTTCTGATCCATCAATGTCGAAACCCAGTCTGCAGTCTCCTTGGCCAAACGGCCAATCTCTCTTCCTCCACTGTCGGTGAAGCGGACGATCACATCAACACGCTTTGCTGAGGCCGCACTCACGCGATATCCCGGCTTGGGGCCCTGGACCTTCTGACGTTCGATCTTGACGGCATCGCCATGCTTCAGCAGGTTCGTACCGCTCCTCGTTGCCCATCCCTCGACACCAAATGCGCCAATGTATCGCGACTCCGGCGTTGATGTCAGCGTAGGTGCCTGGCTAGACGATGATGCGGAGGTTTCCTGTTTTCGAGGCACAGACGCCGAGGAGGACAGGCGTGCTGGTGCCTGAGATGGCCCTTTTTTCGACAAGGTCTTCCAGGTACCGTCCAGGAACATGTTGACTGCAACCTGCAAATCGTCGCGGCAGTTTTCTCGGATCGCAGTCATAGCATCGGGGCTGACCTTAACGCCGACGAAGCTTTCGAATGTCTCCTGATCGAATGCTTGGGGGACCGATGCGGCATTGCGGTCGCCTTCTCTTCCTTGCGGAGGAAGAATTTGGTTTTGAGAGCTTTCGATCTCTCGCTCTGACAGTGGAACTCTTGGGGCGCCCGAGATATTCGCGGTTTCAAACCCTGGAGACTTTGCCTGACCATCATCATGGGCAAACGAAGGGCTTCTCGTTCTCGATGTGCAAGGCGAAGAAGTGGCCGGGGCAGCATGCCAGTGTTGCACTGGCTCGTCGTTGTCATCTGCAAAGAAACGCCGTCTTTTGGCGGGGGGTTCTTCAAAGCTGGTGAGGTCCATTCTAGCAGCTCTTGCGTGATATGGTTTGGACGTCGGCGGTTGGGTCCAGTTTTTAGGCTGGAGAGGCCATCCCTTGTGCTTTTGGGCTGTGGATGCGGGTTCCGTGGAGGACGCGACGACCGCGAATTTTGGCGTCTTGACGTTCCCTAACCGTCAGATGATCGCGTCACTAGCAATTTAGTGGCCTGGCCCGTGCTTCTAGTAATGAACAGCGTTCCTCACAAATCAAACATACCTTATGTAAACAAAGTAACGCAAACCGGCCACCTACATACTGGTGATAGTTTCCATCTTCAATTGGCTATATAGCGTTTAATTCCATCGTTTGGTCGCCGACTGCCTACCTCTAGCCTTTTTTCCGGTTTGAAAAAAATCTCATCCGAGGGTCCTAGCAAACAGCCAATTCTCAGTAAAGCAACGAACAAACAAGCCAAAGTCGTGAAAAATAAGGCAAAGTACGGATAAGGCAATCCGTATTACGGAGGTAGTAACGCTGGTAATGAATTGTACAGTACAGTACGGTACGGTACGGTACGGTACAAGCGAAACTGTATCCGTATTTTTAACGGAAACCAGACATCGATACAAAACCGCCACAGTTGGCTTATTAGTACTGCAAGCGATGAACGCTCGCATGCAGTTGGGAAGCTACAGAGAGAGACTTGGTTACATGAAGATGGAGCTACTGACATAGGCGGTCATCTCATGTATTCCGTTCGAACCCCTGGCAATGGCCTGAGACAGGCATTTCGGCGTATTCGCGACTCTCGCCGCGGCATCACCACCACCACCGAGACAGGCGAAGATGTTGCGCAGGCCCGGAAGTACTGTCAAAACCAGCTCAGGTCTATACTATCCGTCCTTTCAACCCTCACCTGCTAGGGCCTTGCTAACTGTATGCCCATCAGACAAGGCGATTACGATGCGTACCTCATCCGACAGTTCATTCCACGGCCGGCGCAAGATGCCTATGACGCTCTCCGGACGCTGAACCTCGAGCTAGCCCGCCTCCCCGAGACAGTATCCAATCCAACCATCGGCCGCTTCCGGATGCAGTTCTGGCGCGACACTGTCAACCGCACCTTTGCTGGCAATCCGCCGCGAGAGCCAATCTCGATCTTGCTGCACAATGCCGTCACGGATCTCACCGCAAGAAGCGGCGTTAGCAGCGCAAACTCGCTCAAATTTTGGCTCCTGCGTTTTATCAACACGCGTGAGCGGCACATGGAGAACAAGCCTTTCACAACATTGGCCGCCCTGGAAGACTACGCCGAGAATACGTACGCCACCCTAATGTACATGACACTGGCAGCGGTGCCTCTTCGGTCGGTACATATGGATCATCTGGCAAGCCACATCGGCAAGGCATGCGGCATCGTCGCGACGTTGCGCGGCATTCCTGTCCTTGCTGCACCTTCCCAACCCATCCAAGGCCCTAGGGGCTCCAATGTTGGGAACACCCGCAGTCCCACCCTTCTGCTACCCCTCGATATCATGGCTGAAGTTGGCTTGAGGGAGGAAGATGTCTTCCGCCAGGGACCAGGGGCTGAGGGGTTGCAGGATGCTGTCTTTCAAGTTGCTACACGTGCCAACGACCACCTCATTACGGCCCGCGAGATGCTCAAGAATTTGCAAGCTGGGAAGGGCCCTGGGCACGACTACGAGCATCAAGACGAGGGGGAGCATGTATATCCCCAGGAGACGCATGCGGCTGAGAACACAAGCTCAGATATCCAGCGTGGTTTCGGTGTGTTATTGGAGGCGATCGCAGCTAGAGACTACTTGCAACGCCTGGAGAGTGTCAATTTCGACCCATTCAAGGTCAAGAGTAGTTGGAAGTTGCCGTGGGGCCTGTGGAAAGCACTAAGAAGTCATCAAATATGAGCTCGGTTTGCTGAGGATTTTGTGTCCATAATACGATGCTGAATAAAGCTTCTTCCCTTGTCTGATACTCTTGAGATGCTGCTCGACTCGGGCAATTCGTATCACCACCTAGAACCCTGATGGACTTTGAAATTTGCACCGAGCGATTAAGAACCGGCGGTAGCCGATGACGCGGATGCTGACAGGGGTAACAAGTGTACACGGTGAGGGCATGGGAAAGATGAGTCGTCGATGGGAATTACACGTGTAGGAAGGGCAGGATGGGAAAGGAAGAGAGAAAAAAAATTTTTTTTGCTCTTTTCTAAGAATATGTGGAAACCGGCTTTGGAGCCGATCCAAACCGACGGCCCAGCCGGCTCCATCACCCGATCCGACAAAAGAGGAGCCGGTGGGCGGGCAGCCCGGATGGCCCCACCTGATGAGTCCCGAAAGATCTAGAATAAGCACGGTGCACCGGTTTCTCTACGCTAAAATAAATAGATGCATGAGCTTGATGGAGCCACTTCGCGCAATGTCCGTTGATGTGGAAACACGGATGAGACCGCTGACCGGTCGGTTGCGTTGTTGATTTCCCTCCAACGTCGGCTGGTCCCGATGAGGTCGCCGGGTGTTGTTCAGAACCTACACGGATAGGCTAGTGTACCTCCGTATATAAGGTATGCAATTGCAACCTACAATACTACACTTTGTTGCGTCAGGAATGGGAGTTCTCGCCTGATTTTCTTTGCGGCCCATGATTCCAGTGCCATCTCCTCATTTCCCGAACTGCGCCTGTACACGTGCATGTATTGCACCATGCGGCAGCCATGACATGATGCCGCCTCTAGAGAGCAGCATCCAATGGCGGGAAAGCAGGGCGGGTGATTCGCATTTTCCTCTATGTACACATACTTACCACAATCCAATCAACAGGAGAGGTGGTGCGGCATCGAAGGATCTGTGTACGATGGTACATACAGTCAAGGAGAAGACTCCGAAACAAGTCCGACGTATACAAGAGCACGGCAGCTGAGGTGACTTTAGCACCACAATATCACAATACGCATGTGTGTGCGAAAAAGAAAGGCTCTTACTATCCTGAGCGCAGATCATCTTAGATCTCAAATCTAGATCAAGCATTATTTCCAGAAGCCTTGGTAGCCGCCTAAAAACGATGACTGGATCGAGGAACGACTTGACTGCTGAGGTTCGAGTCGGGTGCCCTGTGTGCAACAATACAGTACATGGTTAGCATGACAGACCAGACCAGTACTCATCAGGGCTTCATAATCGCTTCTGACCCGCTACTTCGTAGAGGGTCAGGGACGTTGATTCGCGAACGAACCATTGATTCACGACCTTGAAGTACTTCCATTTACTAGCGCATCCCATACAAATTCAAGTACCTCAAGCTTTGTGCATCATGCCGTCAAAATCCATACTTTAGTGATTTATCTGCAACAGTAATGTACGACAGTTGCATCCACCACCCTCAACATTTCGCATCTAATCGCTCCCATCCTCCAGTACAGGCGACAAATACAGTCAAATATTGTATAAACAGCTTTGCGTTGAATCCAGGCTCAATTATACCTGTCTGGTAATTGAATATAGGCTTTATTTTACATAGCTGTAGCGTGGTTCAAATTGATAGGTATGCATGCAAGCGATATGTGTAAGTGGACGGTATGACATTGATTTGCTAACAAATTTGTATGGGAGGAATGTACTAGTGTAAGTTCGCGATTCAATGGTTCGTTCGCGAATCAACGTCCCTGACCCTCTACAAAGTAGTGGGTCAGACGCGATTATGAAGCCCTGACGAGTATGTAGGTATGTACGAAAATCCCGAGGCGACGACATCAAGAATGCCGCAATAAGGGACGAAGATGATGGAACCAGGCACGTTGGAATTTTGGACGCAAGAATCTTGACCGCCATTGTTCATTCGTTCTGGTGTAAGGTATCCATATGTATAGGTAGATGAATACATTAGTGGGGCAGAGCAAAACTTTTGCAGAAAATGACCTGCTGAAACCCTGCTGAAGGGCGCAGAGGAGTCAGAGTGTCGCCGGCTTCCAGCCGCCATGGGCGGAGCCCTTGTGACCTCAGCAGCAAGTACTTCGTACCCTGTAACCTGATCACATGGACCCGAAACATCTGGCCAACGACGCCCGGCTGCAAGTTGAAAAGTCTTTTGGTACGACTGGAAGTACTCAGGTACTCAGAAATAAAGACGGGAGTGCTAGGCTTACTGAAAGTGAGGCTAGAGAGTTACGCATATCTTCAATATGTAGAGATTGTACACATCGTGACAGAGATGCTGCCGTCAATACGACGGGCAGCACGTATATCATGTAGAAGTTCAAGTGCGGCCTACAATGCGGCATGTTTTCCTTCGCAGGATTCATACGACAGTTGTGCCTGGATCAACACGAAAGCCAGTGAGCAAAAGATCGGATGAGCCTTGTCCATAACCTTCCGTACGAGGCGGTTGCAGTGAGTGGGTCCGTCTCATTGCTTCCTTGGCCCCATCCATTACATACCAATTACTTGATGAAAACCCTCCGTTGGTCGTCAGGGTGTATACAAATAGCCCATGAACTGCATGTTGCCGTGCGTCAGAGCTCAATTCGCCAATTTAACGTTACTGTCCGTCCAAGCTCAAGTTGCTTTGAATTAGATCAGTTCACCGACTTGGATAGATATATCTGTTCCCGCCTGCGCCTGGTTGCGGATCGACGAGCATCCTACAACTCTTTTGCCCTTACCGCCAGCCTCTACGAAAGATTTTGAGCTTTCGAGGTTCACATCACCTTCTTGACAAAGAACCCATTCATACAAGCCTGACTGCTACAGATTTGGCAAGAACATCACCATAGCAGGCGTTGACGGGCATTGATTCCTGCCAGGGTTCCCCGCATTTTTCGAGCCGAAAGCTCAGGCCAGTCATCTGACACAAGCGTGCTTGGTGCATATTTCCCCGCCATTGGCAGGGATTGAGCGCCCAGAACCATGCCGCATCGCGTCGCCGATTTCCTTCGGTCCTCGACGCATTCACTCGAGATTCAGGTGTCGAATTGGACGAAAAAGTCGGCGCCTGGCGGCCCTCGACGCAGGCGAGACTCGCCAAAGAGGAGCGGGAAACCACCAAGGAGCACCGAACGGCCACCATCCTTTGCTGCCATAACCGACGACGACTCAGACGATGCCTACACCCCGCCTTATACTCCGCGCCTCAAAATGGGTGATTCGCGAGCCAGCAGCTTCTCGTCCGAGTCCCACAAGGAACATGGACACCACCATCATCACCGAATCTCATTTCCCAGTTTGCATTTTGGGCGATCTAGCAAAGACACACACCCCCCTGCACCAGCTGCATTAGACTGGAGTCTTGAGTCGCCGCCTATCGTCATGTACGGCGATCCCGAGAGCAGCACCGGTGCGTTGCTCTCGGGCCAACTCTTCCTAAACATCAAGGAGGAGAGCCTGGAGATTGAGTCTTTGAACGCAACTCTCAGCATCCATGTCACACAGAAAAAGCCCTTTGTGCATCACTGTGCCGACTGTGCAAGTCAGTCTACGGAACTAAAAAAATGGGTTTTCTTGCCGCATCCGTTGGTCATGAAGAAAGGTAAGGCTTTAGCCTCATCTGCTTCCGGAATAAGTTGTAAACGTACATGAGGCTAATGGCCGCGCGCAGGTGAACACACGTTCCCTTTCTCGGTGCTCTTGGAGGGGCACCTCCCGGCTAGTATGGATAGCCCCCTGGTCTCAATCGCCTACGAATTCAAGGCTGAAGCCGTGCCCAAAAGCGGCGACACTCCGCTGGCGCCTATCAAGCTAGAAAAGGTGCTCGATGTCAAACGCAGTCTCCCAGCGTCCGAGAACCCGCACCACTCCGTCCGCGTCTTCCCTCCTACAAACATCAAGGCCAGTGCGCATTACCCTCATGTGATACACCCGATCGGCAGCCACACATTGTCTTTGCGGCTTGATGGCATCGCGAAGCACAACGCCAAGGTCAACACGATTGAATATTGGAGGCTGAAAAAGCTCACGTGGAAAATTGAGGAGACGGTCAAGACGGTCGCCCCGGCCTGTAGTCGACACAGCCCTAAGAGCAGCGATGGTGCGGAAGAGCAGCAGCAGCAGAAGAAGGGCATCGTCCGCTGCGAGAGCCGAATTATTGGGGAGAAGACACTCTACTCAGGCTGGAAAAGTGACTACACGAGCCTCACCGATAGCCTGGTCGAGGTCGAGCTCGATTACAACGTCTGCAAATCCGCGAAGCCTTCGTGCGACACCAAGAGCCGCGATGGGACCGAGGTAACCCATCAACTGATGGTGGAGATGGTTGTTTCGCAAGAATGGGCCCCGGTCAACAGGCCTTCACTCGTGACACACACTGGTGTAGGGCGCATTCTGCGGATGCACTTCGCCACCATTCTTACCGAGCGCGCGGGCATCGGCATCAGCTGGGATAACGAAGCCCCTCCCATCTATCAGGACGTGCCTCCTAGCCCGCCGGCGTACTCGGAGGAGATTACCGCGGACAATTCGATTGCGGAGATGAATGAATCCCTCGACAGCTGCTGTGGGCGAGGTTTGAACCGGAACTCGACGGACACGAGTGCAAGCGGGCATGGCGGAGCAGGCTCCGAAGGGCGGTGAAGAGCCCCCTTAAGCTGGGCTCGCACGTTGAGACGTGGGCGCTCCCGAGGAACTTAGCATTCACAGCTTTCCGCAATGCGAGAGGACGGGAGCATTGGAAAAACTTTGGGTTTCGTGCTGGGAGGGTTTTGTCATATGGAATCGTTGTTTGTTGGGCTCAAGGCGTTCGTGTTGCATGATACCCTGTACGGCAAGTCGTCGAGGGCTTGTTGGCTGTTGATCTTCTCTGTGTATTACTATCATCCCTCAAAACTCACTGGGTATGGGACTGCTAATGATAATGATACCCGGGAATGGGAAAAGGCTTACCTAGGAAAGAAAACGGAACATGAATATCCAAAGCATTGCATCTCTGGTATGGGTACCTACCTCGCATTTGTTGCATTGAGACGCTGTGCACTTGTCTATTGCTCCCTGCACCACAGCTCAGGCGACCATGGTAGTCAAGTCAGGTTATAGGTATAACTGACCTCTGTATGAGATCTTAAAAAGAATTCTATTCACAACTCTATTCGTAGTATTGTCGTTTCTTGATCTCTTTGAACTAATCCTCTAGTTGGCCAGACAGCAAAAGGTTCCCATGATGGCAAGCTCAGAGCTTCCCCTCGTCCAGGCGAATCTCGGCGATCAGTCATCAATGCGGGGAGAATGTGGGGGTAGGACCGTTTGCAGCGTGGCGCCACTTACAGGGCTGAGCTTATCGATAAGCCAACTTACTCCCTGAGTTGGGAGCATCCCGGGAGTCGTTCACCGAGCGCCGGATCGATGACTCGACAGAGCTTCGACTCAACCGGCCAGTCAACCTCCAGGGAGTCACCAACAGTAACGAACACATATTAGAAGGTTATCTGTTACTCCACCACCAACCTTAAATCTCTCCAGTTACTCCATATCTCTTCTCTTTCATCATCAATAGTGTAAACTACGACTCTACAAGGGCCTTCCTCCCACCGTTTGACGCAGCAATCGGGTTTAATGGTCCGGCGAACCTATTGTTCGTCTCGATACGCAAGTCAGCTATCTTCATCTTGATTGGATAGCACCGCGACGCGGCATCATGGCCAGCAAATCTGCCAAGCAATTACCGCACGAGAAGCGGAAAGGCGAGGCCGCCCTGAGCGACTTCGCCGAGTACGTTGAGAAGCAGCAGGCCCTGCGCTACCCAAGCTCCAAGGCTGCGACGGCAGCTTCCACTACTGCGGCCCAGGGCAATCATGACCATCACGAAGAGCTGGACGACATCCTCGACAGCCTCGATCTCTCCGACTCGGCCCCCCGCGTCAGGTTACGAGAGCTCCTTCTCTCGAGCAGCGGAGACGCGGATGCGCTGCAAAAGCTGGTCGACGTCGTCCAGGAGCGTCTGCTGGAGGGCCACGGCGAGACCGTGTTCGACATTGGCTTTGAGAATAATGGGGAGAGCATGAAGCTGTCCCGCGATGACTGGGACCGGGCATACAAGCGGTTGAGCGAGGCGGCGAAGAGGTTGCGGGCCGATACCCAGCTCTTGTTGACCAAGAATGTGGGCGGGCCCCTTGATGGAGCGCCTACGAAAGACGGAGATTGCAGCGGGAAAGTCATGATTCGCAGAGCCCCAGCCACGGTTGAGGACGTGATCGAGACGAGGATAGCTGTGGTGGGGAATGTTGACGCTGGGAAGAGCTCCATGCTTGGCGTGCTCGTCAAGGGCGACCTTGATGACGGCCGAGGGAAGGCTCGTGTCAACCTGTTCCGTCACAAACACGAGATCGAGACGGGGCGGACGTCCTCGGTTGGCATGGAGATCATGGGCTTCGACACCACGGGCCAGGTCATAGTCTCTGATACTCCGGGCCGTAAACTGTCTTGGGAGGAGATCGGGAAGCGCAGCGCCAAAGTCATCACTTTTACTGATTTGGCCGGCCACGAACGCTACCTGCGCACGACTGTCTTTGGACTTTTATCAAGCAGCCCCAACTACTGCTTGCTTATGGTGGCAGCGAACAATGGGCTGATTGGCATGAGCAAAGAGCACCTCGGCATTGCCCTTGCCCTGAATGTGCCGGTCATGGTGGTCGTCACCAAAATTGATATCTGTCCGCCTCAGATTCTGGAGCAGACCATTACTCAAATAACGCGCATTCTCAAAAGCCCCGGTGCGAGGAAAATACCCATCTTTATCAAGAACCACGAGGAATGCATCAACACGGCGACTCAGTTCGTCAGCCAGCGTATCTGTCCCATCTTCCAGGTCTCCAATGTCACGGGCGAGAACCTGGACCTGGTCCGCTCGTTCCTCAACATTCTTCCGCACCACGGTCGGTACGATGCCGACGCCCCGTTCGAGTTTCATGTCAATGACACCTTCAGCGTGCCTCACGTGGGCACCGTGGTCAGCGGTATTGTCAAATCCGGGGTTATCCACGCTGGCGATGACGTCCAAATAGGGCCTGACTCGCTGGGACGTTTTACACAGACCTCCATCCGCTCTATCGAGAGGAAAAGGATAGGGGTGCCTGCGGCATCGGCTGGGCAGTCTGCCTCGTTCGCGTTGCGACGCGTTCGACGGAAAGACGTACGCAAAGGCATGGTGGTCTTGCCCAAGGCCGACGGTGCCCCTCCCAAGGTGTACCGCGAGTTCGTTGCTGAAGGTACAGACATCTACAAATAACCCACACAGGTTCGGGATATGTGTTTCTTTGCTAACTAGGAGCAGTGCTCATCTTATCGCACGCAACGACGATTAAAACCAAGTACCAGGCCATGTTGCACGTCGGTCCCGTCTCGCAGACGTGCGCAATCATTGATGTCGACCGTCCGTTCATCCGGACCGGCGACAGGGCCACGGTGGCCTTTCGGTTCGTCCAGCGGCCCGAGTATCTGGCGCCTGGGGACCGTCTCCTCTTCAGGGAGGGGCGGACTAAGGGGCTCGGTATCGTCAAAAGCGTCGGCTACGACCCGTCCAAGCCGCTCATGCCGAAGCAGCCGGAGGAAGCAGACGCAGACGCCGGCGACGGGCAGAGAACTGCTGAGGCGGTCGGCGGTGCGGAAAAGGATGACGGGGCGAAGACCTGATCTCGTGTTGACCGTTGGGCTAGAGTCTACGGAGAGGAGAGGGACTGACGGCCCGAGTGCAGGGTATCACACGGTTCCGTCGACCTTTCCCCTGAGGCTTCTGCATTGGTTTCTGTGGGGTCAGATAACTATCATTGAGTGTCGAGTGTATGTGTTTAGGGCCGTTATGCGTTTGAGGCCCGTTATGCGTTTGAACGCAAGATTTTGGGTATGTACTGGCAATATTCGGCCTCGCATGTTGAAGGATATTTGGTTAGCACGGCGTACTGGAGTCAAGCACATTTTCTCCCCCTTACTGCCACTTTTGCATGTTGATACTGTGACTGCAAGTCTGTTACGAGAAAATGCGGGCCAGCTCCCGTTGCTTCATCTGACTAGAATCCTCGGATATTTGAGAACATGCTGGTTGTACAATAGGCTCATGTTTATTTAGCTCGCGTCGTGAAGAGCTTGGCTGCTCTAGCCATCGTCGATCCCAGGACTCAACGCGCTTGGTTTGCAGTTTACTCAATTGGCTACTTGAGACTTTGCTCTCCCAGCAAGAGATCAACCTATCTGACCTGCACGAGGTATACTCATGTTCCTGCGACGCAAACCCATCACCCTAATCTGACCTCAGAAAGGTCGTGACTGCGGAGATATGAGCACGACACTATCTCCTGTTAACGCAGCACAGTTAGTCCAAAAGAGCTCTGACGGAACCCGAGAGCCCGGGGGAGTCAGTGGTGACGCACCTCTCACAAACAGCATTTCGGATTTTCTGCTGACAGTCTGTGATGAGAAGAATGATGTGAGCAAAAAAGACATGGCCATGTATTACCTTTCCGTGACGTAACAATCAAGACTGAATAACGCAGCATGCCCTTACCCTGACTTCATCGTCATCCTCATCATCGACGACGTAGATGGTCTCTTCGACATCACCGAGCACGAGGTTGCAGTGACTGTCGTAAGCCTAAGCAAAGGGGGGTTGTTAGGAGGATAGACAACACAATGTAATGTTGTGTCAATCGGAGCACGGGCCGGAGGGCGGGATGACGGGTGATAGTGGTGGGGCGTAGGTAAGAAAGGTATTCTGCGTACGTACATGAAGGCGGCCTTTGAGCTCCCGGTCTCCTCTGAGCTTTACGCAAACCACTTCGTCGAGCAACAGGCGCACCAGATCGAGGGGCTCGGCGACGGCGGTGCCTTCATCCCCGGGCTCGGCCATGACGGGCACACGACTGATTCGGTAGCTGCTGGTTCCTGGGGAAGCTCAGGTTGATCGCGCTGCTGCAGTCTGGTGTCGGATATCTTTTGCAGGACGACAATCCAGTCGGTAAGGCAACGGTAAGATAGTGGGCTCACGGCAGAAAGAAACGTTAGCACACAGCGCTTTGGAGATGCTTTCTGTAATTACAGGTGGGATGCGCTCCGAAAATGGGGCACGAGCCTCTGTGGTTGTTTGATACGCAAGTTGAACGCAACAGCTGGAGCCCCTCAATTGTGCCGGGCTTGCCCGCCTACCCGACTGAGGTCGTGCATCACCCGAAGCCTACCACCTAAAGTCCTAAACTGTGTCTTAGGTATCCCGTCTCAAAACAACATGCAGCATAGCTCTGTCAAAGGAGTTGAAGCAGCCCACAAATTTACGCAGAGCTTATTTTCCGCATGGGGTGGATATATACCATACTAAACATTACGTATACGGTGCCCATTGCCCAGCAATAGCCGTATCCAACCAAACCAGAGGGACATGGACATTGTCACCTCCCCGTGACCTTTTCTAGCCTCAGATCATTGATATACATGTACCTGCTCAAGGTGATCCAGCCATAGCGGAACCAGACCATCTGGCTCTTATGAGCCGTGACCATGGCCTTCCACGCCGTGGTGATGCCTCCGTGACCGGCCAGACCATTGAGGAAGATCAGTCCCCCAGGGTGCTTCTTGTCCTGCTTATCCGCCCGCACCGCCCAGCTAACCAGGGTAGCTAAGACATCCAGAAACGCCGTGTACTTGCGCGGTAGGGGCACCGAAGTGAGGGTGTAGAGATCGACGGGCGGGGTCCAGCCTGGCTTGCCGGCTATCAGCGCGGCAACGAAGGCCTTGGCGCCGTGGTACAGCGATATGTGGTTCGGGTGGCCCGAGACGCCGCCGGCGTCGAAGGTGATGAGGACGTCGATGGTGGCCGTGGGCGCGGTATTGGCGTCGCGTGCCGGTCGTTCTCCTCGCGACAGGTGGGGCGCAAAGGCCGTCGACAGGAGCGACGAGATGGCTGAAGTGTCCCACGTCGTCGTCATGCTGTCGGGAAACTCGGGCTTGTCGACCACAAACACGTCGTCGGGCTTGCGCAGGCCAAGGACCACGCCGGACTTGGCGAGTTCACGCTTCCGAGTCTCGCCAAGGCCATCGGCATTGCCTAGTTTGTGGCGACAAGTCATTAGTAGGAAGCTGGGGGAAAGAAAAGGGATAACAGGCAAAGGAGGGAGGGGAAGTTCAAGAGATAGCTTACCGCTGCTCAAGCAGAGGATCTTGACATGGTTGCCCGTCTCAGGCCGGGTGAGCGCCAGCACCGTGGGCGCAAAGAACATGGCCTCATCATCCGGGTGGGCGATGAGCAGACAGATGCGCTTGTTGCGCAGAATCGGGAGGCGTGCCGAGATGACGGACGCAGTGTAGATGTAGAGCGACGGGAGCACCACCGCCAGCATGCCCAACGTCATTAGCCAGGCCATTGTGCCAGATTGATAGCCAATTGGGTCGTAAAGTCAATCAATGGGGCATAGCTCGCTTCTCCCGCCCTTCTATCCTCCGGTTGCGCCGCCGTCGTCGGCTTGGCTCGGGCGCGAGCTCAGGGGTTGTGTCGTCACCGGTTCCCGTTCTCGATGCGGCAACAAAGCCGCCAAGACGGCAAACAGCGAGGAAAACTGGCAAAGTGCGGCTGTTGTTACACGTCGGCACACTTTATGCTGTGCTGAGGCGCGCAGCGGACCGCGTAAACTTTCTGCGACCAGACCACACAATGGCAGGCAATGCTGAGGATGAACTGCTGGAAAGAAGTGCGGTGGGATTTGAGGACCTTGAGAAGTTGAGTGCAGTGATCTCCCACTCGCGTCCGGCCTGCGCGCGCACTGTGCACTTGTGTAGCTGCTGTTAGTGCTGCCCCAATTTTTTTTTGTAAAAAGCTTCCTCTCGACTACCCCTCTTAACAGAGCCAGCAACACTTTACCTTGCCATACTGTGGCCATGGAGACAGCTCTACACAACCAGCATCGCAACACAAGTGTATTTTCCTGATTGTTATGCCGTCAAAGAATTAACGATTCACACATGAGATCTCACTTGAAACTCGCCACGATTATGTCGACGAATAATGCTTGACGGACAATGGTAGCTCGGTCATCCTCCGTACAGCAACGGCGCTCAGTTCTGGGTGCGTGGGTGCTGTACACGGAGAGTGGGGCCATGATATCTTGGTTCCAAACTTCCAATCCGTGAAACTGCTGTGACGTTAATTTGTGCTTCCTTCAACGTCGATATTCTCCCACCATTGCCAAGTTTTGCCCGACTTTGCAATGGCTAGGCGGCGCAGGGATAAATCTCCATCCAACCTCAAACTGAGACAGCCAGATAGGTCCGGCCCGAGCGAGAAGACGCTCCTGCAGCTCGCCGAGGAGAGGGGCCTATTCGACCAGGCGAAGAAGCGGGAGGACGAGATCGCAAAGAAGGCCGCCGGGCGTCCCATCTCAGAGCCGGCCAGGGGTGGTGATGAGGATGGCGACGCAGAGGGACTGCCCCCTGCCGTTGAGCGCGTGCTTGAGACGCTGCTCTGGTCTGTGAGCCTGGCCATGCTGCACTTTACGCTTGACGTTCTGGTGCAGCACCAGTTCTCGGTAGACAGGATAGTATGGCCCAAAGTCGTGACAAGGACTGCCCAGGCCCTTTTGGGTAGGTTTGAAGATGTTGCACTGTTCTCCAATGCTCGCTTCGTTGCTAACACTAGATCCCCAGTCTTCGGCCTGCTTATCTACGCCCTCCATCCGCATCCTTCCAGCCCTTCACTGCTCCCCGGCTTGCCTGCCCGATACCAACCGATAGTCAGACAAGGCATATTCTTCACGGCAAGCGTTTGCGCCGGCTGTTATTTGATACATATCACCAATATGTACGGTTACTTGGCCGTCATGAAACGGGCTCCCTCGCTAGGATGTCTCTGGGTGTGGTCCGTCATTGAGCTTGAGCTTCCGTGGGCCGTTCTCAGCCTTGCAGGGGCTGGCTTATTCCTTTGGATGAACGGATACAGCATCAAATGACATTCTGGATAGCTTCTGGCGGCTGGATTCTGATGAGCCATGCGACTTGGAAACCAGCATACTTATCTGCACGTTCAAAAAGCGCGGAATGTCCGGTCTAGGAAGGCTGCAACATCTTTTAGTGCAGCCACAATTTGTATGCAAAGTCCATGCTCTCTTATGTCAAACTCCACGGAGCCTTTGGTCTGACGTTGTCCTGCAGACAAAAGAACCGAGGCCCAGGCCATTCGAGATGCCTTGGAGATTCCAATTATTATTTTACAAACGGCTTACATGGTCTCGACGGTTCCAGTCCCATTTCGCACTGCCTGAGCTTAGGTATATCTATCAGATGGCCGCACAATCCGGACGGCAGGCACACCCTATTTCTGGAATGTGACTACCAACCCCGGCGATTGCACTCGAGCATCGCATCCGGCCGACGGCACCTTCTGGGCTCGAGCAGAGTATGACGTGACAATGGGTTCCCCCGAGGAACTCACCCGTTTTGACAACAGAATGACAGGACAGATGGAGAACGATCTGCGAGTCTGCCATTCGTGATGGCACCTTCCCGTCCTATTCACTCGGTTTGAGCCCCGGGCAGTGCATGCTGCTTCTGGGAACTAGGTGGTCAGCGCTCGCACTCAAGTGCTCGGAAAGTGCTCGGAAGTCGCACTTGAGGGCTTTCGCTTCATACTTATTCTTTTTGTTGATGCACATTGCCTGTCTGCCCAGTTCGCCCCCCAGTTTACTGTCAAGACCATCTCGGCATCATTAGCTGGCGCATTGTTACATTGGCCATTACAGGACCTGTTCAAGCAGCCATGGCCACAAAGCATCTGTTTACGCTCTTTTCGATGGGCGCCTTCATCGCGGGATGTCAAGCCGCGCCCACATTAAGTCAACGGCAAGGACGGTGGGACTCTGAGACGGTCCCTCGCGGCGTCGTCATCCAGCATTGCACCGTCCCGGGGGTTGTGGCGCTCACCTTTGATGATGGCCCGTACATATACACCAGTCAAATCTTGGACCTGCTGGACCAGTACAACGCCAGTGCCACGTTCTTTGTCAACGGCGACAATTGGGCGCACAACGTTGATGACGACTCCACCCCTTGGCCCGGCATATTACGGCGGATGGTCGATTCGGGCCACCAAGTGGGTTCGCACACATGGTCGCATAAGGACCTGACAGCCGCTAGTTCCGCTGTCCGGCACACCGAGATCAGCAACCTCGAAACGGCCCTCGGCCACGTCCTCGGCTTTGCGCCCACGTATCTCCGGCCTCCCTACGCGAGCTGCTCGGCCGACTGCCTGGCGGACATGGAGCAGATGGGTTACCACGTGGTGAATTTCGACCTCGACACCAAGGACTATCTGTACAATTCGCCCGGTGCCATCCAAGTCGCCAAGGATGCCTTTGCCGCCACGCTCGACGCCGGCTCTCCCGACAGCTCCTTCCTCGTGCTCGCCCACGACACGCTGCAGCAGACGGCCGAGGCCCTGACCGCCTTCATGCTGCGCAAGATCAGGCAGCGCGGATACACGGCCGTGACGGTCGGCGAGTGCCTCGGCGACCCGCCTGAGAACTGGTACCGTCCTGTCTCTGTATAGACGCCGCTCTTCGTTTGGTGTCCGATACCGGTGCTGAGCAGTTCGCATCACATGCAAGGCTGGAGTGTAATGATAAGGGGTTTGAGGGGGCAAAATCTCGTACAGGGGGCGGGCGGAGTCTTGTTGTTGACTTGAAGGATAAAAGTTTACTGGATCAGCCGGTTTGGCTATCGAGACGCGTCAGTCTCTTCTTGGATGTGGGAAGTGCCATGGTACGGCTTTCATTGATTGTGGTTGCAGCATAGTTACAGGCCTTCGCGCGGTGCTCTCGATTCGGAGATTCTAGAATAGAAATGTCCAGCATTCTCTCTCTAGGTGTTCGGCCGCTGTTCTGTGCTACACTCAACAATGCGCTCCGCCCCAAGAAAGGGGCGCCGAAATACTGACAAGAGCAAGTGTTGACTTAGTTACCGCTCTACAAACCGTTCAGAAGGTCGCTGATTTCCTTAGCTACAAATGCCGGGTCGTCCTTTTGGATGAAGTGACCGCAACCCTTGGCGATCTTCACCTCGCCCGAGCGGTCGGCCGGCACGAGCCGGGTGAGCCCTTCGTTGTATGCTCCCCAGGCTGGGTTCACATACTCATTGATGACCGACTTTGCCACGGACAATGGGCCCTAAACAATCCCCAGTCCCGTCAGCAGAGGTTAACGGGCATAAAATTCCCCGCCATCTGAAGCTGCCATATCTCATAGTCTGGGTAAGGTATCTCACCTTCTCGCACTGCTCGGCAAACTCGTCCCAGTCATGCCCGAGGACAACCAGCCGCGGGACTCTCCCTCCGGGACCCGCAGGGAGGGCAGGGCGATCGGCGTGCGGGAGCAGCGCGGCCAGGTTCCGCCGGTCCAAATGCTCGGGGTTGGGCACGGTCGGGTGGAAATGCTCGCCAAACGCGGCGCGGGCGTGGCGGACGAGGTCGGCGTCGTCGTCGTCGCCGTCCGGGTCCGCGGGGAAGAGGGAGACAAAATCCGTGTTGGCCATCATCGAGTCCAGAAAGAGATAGCCCGCGACCCGGCCCGGGTGGGCGGCCGCGTAGAGGCGTGCCAGCGCGCACCCGATCGAGTTGCACACCAGCACCAGCCGTGCTTCCTCCAGCGACTTGGAATTGGGCAGGATCTCTGGGCAGAGCTGGGTGAGCAGCTGGTGGAGGTCGGCGACGGAGGCTTCGGGGCCGTGCCCGTAGGGTGTGTCTAAGTCGGTCGGGTCCGGGTCCGACTCGCCCTGGCCGTACCGGTCGTAGCTGAGCAGGGCAGCGGGGAGGGGCTGTCGGGAGTCCCGCCGCAGGGAGATAAGGTGGTTGATGGCCCCGGACCAGGCGGCGCGTGGCAGTGCAAGGCCGTTGAGGAATACCACGAGGGTGTCGGACAGCGGATTTGAGATGGAGTTCGAGTCCGCGGGAGACTGCTCAGGGGTGTGGATCGAGATGCGCAATGAAGCGCCGGGTTTGGTGGTTAACGTGATGGATCGGTCCTCCATTTCAGATGGCCGTGTTTCTGTGGGTGTTTGGGTAGGTCAGGACAGTTCAGGCGAAGGTGTCTGTTTGCGGTTCATGTAAGAATTGAGACGACAGCTCCCGTCGGACTTGGACCTATGACGTTGTAGGTGGAGCGGGAAGTACAGTATGTAAGCTGCCACCGGGCAATATAACGCCATTCTATCTGGAGAGGTAATAGATTGAAAAACCAGCCGTTTCGAATGTGGTTACACGACACCTACCTATGTGTCGATACAGTATCAATGGGTAGGTACCTACTTTGCGGAAGATCTACCTACGGTGGGATCAAGACCTTAAGCCACATGCATACAATTCAGGTTACAACTTGACTTCATAGGTCCCAGCTGAGGAGTCCCCATGTTGCTCATAAACGGTAGCTACCTGCTACCGGGACGTACCAGAGAACATAGGTAGGTACTGTCGCAAGTAGTGTGAGTTTGCTTGAGTCTGGGTCCATTTAGATCATCTAGCATCGGTTGATACCTGCCTATGTAGACCACCATATCCCTAGCCGACTGGCTGAACTGTAGGCTATGTAGCTGAATGGCGACGGCGATTCACTTAGGACTTGCTCGGATCAACTGGATCGTCAAACGCCATACCGGACGCTCTCAAAATCAAGCAGTGTAGATCTAACTTTGATTGTCTTTCAAACAACTTCATCAGTGTAGACCTATTACCTTACCTTATGAATAGCCCTTATTAAGCGTCTATCATTGAGTTATTTCTGATAAACAACCTTTTCTTACAACTGAACTCACATGCAGACTTAGGAATCCATACAAAACCTGCCCATAAGTTCAACTTCACAACTCCGCATCCGCACCACATTCCTTAGGAGCCTAGCTCGGGAGTGCCTGCAGGCAAAAGGGCGTTTGGTTTGATTTGTCGACGTGGCAGTCTTCTGACCAGGAAGGTGGAGCCCGGCCATAATTCACCTTTCAGCCCAAACACTCGGAGTCGTCTTTATCTTCAATCATCAGCAGCAAGCTTCTATTGGAAACACTCCGGTTGCAACACGCGCTCACCAATATCAGCTAGCTATGTCGAGGCCTCATTCCTCCTCATCCACACTTTGAGAAAGCAGCACACTATCACCACTGAGCTGGTTTGGCCCCAAGGCTCAGCTCTTGAACTCGGATGAACAAGAAGCAAGCAACACAGCAGCGTGCTGACGTGACCATGAAGATAACGGCTGTAAGACCCCGTTTGCAACAGTTGAGCAGGTAGAGAGCAGCAGCTGACAAAGTCGATAGCTCTATGTCTACCCTATCAAAGCCCTGCGCGGGATCGAGCTCAAGTCCGCCAGGATTGGGCCCCAGGGGATTAGACACGACCGGAGATTCATGCTGTACGAGGTCCGGCCTTTCCCTGGTGAGCTGAGGAAGATGCAGCTCGATACGCATCCTCAATGTGCCTTGTTTGAGCAGGAGATCGTGCCAGGTCCTCGAGAAGGGGAGTCAATGGTCGTGGTGCGCTACCACGGCAGTCAAGCAGAGGGCCCGAGGGAGAACCAGCAGCTTGAGGACGCACCTCTCAAAGTACCGCTGGAGCCGGAAGTTTCATCTCTCGAACAGATTGACGTCGTCTTGCACAAAAGCCCCGCTTCCGCGTACCGCATGGGTGACCCATACGATTCCTGGTTCAGCCAGCGCTTCGGTTTCCCCGTGATGCTGGTCTACATTGGCGGCGGGCGTCGTGCCGTCCCGATCAAGTCGCTGCTGCCCAAAACTACCACAACCCAAGAACAACAACAAGGATGGATCTCAACGCTAGCCTCTTACATCGGCGGCCCCAAGCCCAACCAGAAAGACTCGGAGCCATGGCTAACCTTCACCGACGTGGCGCCGCTTCTGATCACGTCGGAGGCTTCGTTGCGAGATGTGACCGAGCGCCTGCTCGACGGCCAATCACCCGGGATGTACAAGTTCCGGCCCAACATCGTTGTCGATGGTGAGGGAGAGGATCCTTGGGCAGAAGACTTTTGGGCCGAGCTCGCCATCGACTCCGAGTCCTCTTCGGCCACCAACCAAACCGACCCCGAGCAGCACGACGGGAAGAAGAATACCCTGATACTGACGGGCAACTGCGCGCGGTGCGTCAGTCTGAACGTGGACTACCAGACGGGGAAACCAGCGTCTGGGGAGCTCGGGACGCTGCTCAAGAAGCTGATGAAGGAACGCCGAGTGGACCCGGGGGAGAAGTGGTCTCCCATCTTTGGCAGGTATGCTTTCGTTGATGGGAGCAATGATGACGCCGACGGCTTCACTGTGTCGGTGGGTGATGGTGTGCAAGTGACACGGCGCAATACCGAACGGACGGTTTTGAACTGGGACGGCTGAGGATGATCACAGTACTCAAGGTACATGTTTTGGAAGCTGATGACGACGTCCGCCGCCTTTCTGTACCGCATGATATCGGGTTTCACGTTTATGCCCCATCCGACGGCTGCGAAGACGTCTGGGTCCCTGGCTGTGCCATGAAAAGGGAGTGACCCGTCGTAGTCCCAAATAATCACCTCTTCGATGGATGCCTACCACTCGGCAAAAAGTCAAAATAACATACAACACCAGGGATTCGCTGGTCGTCACCGACCCAACTACTAATCTGGCGGTTAGTAGTTTAACTAAGGGAGAGCGGACGGGATCCCGTGTTTTCTACTACCTATGGTCGTATGTGTTCGAGAGCATCCTGTTTGGGCGTCATGTAGTAACAACCACTCGGTGCAGTGTACATAGTCCTAAGTCAAGATGAACTTGTATGAGGGTTATGAACAAGCCAAACCCTAAGTGTAAGGTGGTCTACCGGCAAGGTTATGCTAATGTACTGCTTTTTGCTTGCTTACCTAGGTACCTCCTGGACCCGGAGAGACAGCGCAAGGAAAACATCAGCCGGAACGGGTCCGCTTGGCCGGGACAACTATTCCCCCTATATGTATTACATATACCTAGGTGGAGTGAGGCGATCGCTGGATTACATGTCACCGGAGCAGTCTGTTGCAGTGTTGTACTGTACCTTACCTAGACTCTGGTCGGGACTATCGCATGTATAGGTAAATGCCCTAGATTCAGGGGCTCATCGGATGGGAAGAAAATTCAGTTCGCCGCCGATCGGCATGCAGAGTCACCAAATCCGTGACGCCGGGAAAACACAGTGTGCAATTACAACCGGATACGCCAGGGACGCTAGATATAGTACTAGTACTAATGAATGCTCTTGGTGTTATTCCTCCTTGCCTAGTTGAGTAACTATGTACTGGTAGTCCGTATTACAGTACCGAGGTAATACCCACGGCACTACTCAGCTAAAGCGAGTGGGCAGACGTGGGGAGAAATAGATGGAAACGCCATCTCGCGTGGGCAGAGAGAGCTTTATAGTTGATGGACTCGGACTCCGGACCATGCCCCGTGCGCGAGCTCCGTCTCGGGCGGGCTGCGGCGGGTCCCGGTTTCGCCGGGTGCCTGGTCCGAGTCCGGGCTGCCGGACGTCGGGATTCGGGAGCACACGGCTTGGGAGCACTTGGCTTCGATTTTGTCTCTGTGCAAGTAAAACGTTCACAAGTTGGAGCCATGCCGTAGACCCGAGGTTCCGGACTCGGCAGATATAGTTTGGCACCCGACTCGGATGCATAATGGTGCCATTGTGGTATAGAGATACTGACTGGCTGTATCAAAGAGTCCGAGCCCGACTGCGTGGCATTGAGTCTCCAATTGGAACCCTGCAGCGGACATGCAGCCCCCGTGTTTGGTGGGATTAGCATCATCTGTTTTCTTGGATCCTCGGATCCTCGCCCACCATCTCGAGCTTTCCGTCCGCCCAATATGACTTGACTTGTAGCCCAGCTGCTCCCAGTGGCTTTATGCTTTATTAGCCGGTCCTGGGCAACTAGTGCCGCACAAAAAGAGAGTCACATCCGAAGGTGCTCTGCATTACCCACTGCTGGCAAATGCAAAGGCATACGGATTGAAGCCGTCGAGTGCTGGTCTACACAACAGTAAGGGGCCCCGGTCCATACCACGACTGATCTTCCGTTGTGCTTGGGATGCCGATCCGGAGGAATTGCCATCGTGGCTCGTATGCGAGATGCGATACGACCGCGGTGGCAGCCTCGGGAAAGCATCATGGCCTCTTAGAGAGCCTTTATGTCTTTACGAAGGACCTTCATATGCGGCAGGTCCCTGTGCAGCCTAACCCGCGCGTGGTTGTGCTGGTCCTGCCGGCTAGATTACGTGCAGCGGCCGGGTATTGCAATCCCTGGCCTTGTTAGCAGATCACGGGATCGTTTGCTTCATCGCCACGCGGCCGGTCAGGGACAGCATCACCTCCGGTGTAGCGGCTCTGCAGGCGCCAACACACTACCGACATGAATCGATGAGGTGGCTCGCGCGGCAAGACGGTTGAAATCGTTTCCGCCGAAATGGTGGCATGCCCCGAGTACATAGGTGCATAGTGTGTACCGCTGCAGGGTCCCCGCTGTCCACAATGATGCATGCTAGAATGATCGAATACCAGTACCGGACGCGATCGGGTTCGAGGCTGGGAAGAACCACAGACTCGTCCCGGGATGAGAGGGACGCATGACAGCACTCTGCTTCCAGTCCAGGCTATAAAGTCTGGTGCTTCCAAACCGGCGAACCCTTCGTTCTTTGATAGTGTGTGGACCCTCTTTGCGGCAGCCTGCAAGTCATGGGGTCGAGAGTGGTTGGCGAGGTTGGTTCCGTCTGCAGGTCTGCAGCTTGCTGCTGTTTGCTGCATGCGAGAAACCGGATCTTCTCTGCTCGCTCAAGCCAGAGCGAATCAGAGCAGCCGAAACCATCATATCGCTAACCTGGGCTCGAGGCTCCCCTGCAACTGCCAGCCGTGCGTCTGGCCATCTCGCTCTGGCTGTTTCCAGTCGGCGGCACCACTGGCAAGCGACAGACAAGAGCCGCAGGCCTCATCGTTCTGGGCCCGGGAAGCCGCTTTCGCGGGCCCGAGGGCGCCAGGGGAAGGTGAACCTTACAGAGGTGCCTTCTTCACCTCGGGCCGTTATATTGCCTCTTTGGCTTATATCGTGCCTTGTGGTAGTGGATTGGGGAGGCAATTTGGATCAAGATGGAGCTTTCACCGTCCTGGCAGGGCACATATTTACCCAGTCTCATGCCGTGCGCTCCCTGAAATTGCCTGCCGCTGCGCATCTTCGGCGACCAAAGTCAATCCCTTGTCGTTTCGAGCCTTGTCTTTTGAAACCTCCGAGCCGTTAGCGAAGCTTCGCAGCCATGGTGATGGTGATGTCTTGTTGACGAGTGGGCATGGTTCCGAGCTGGCTTGGTCCCGGCAACTGCGGCATCGCTATGCATTTCCTTCGTTTCCAACACGCTAAACTCCAGGCCCAGGCAAGGGTAGTAAGGCTGTCTGTGGGTGCCGATGGTCAGATCGACGGCGCGCACGGATAGGGACCGTCGGACCCGTGCCATTGATGTCTATAAACATACCCAACAGCTAAAGATCCCGCGCAATGGGTAAGGGAATTAAGCCGCTCGGGCCGGTCCCGACGTTTGCTCCTTCTGCTGGGCTGTAGACAGCTAGATGCTGGGGCTGGATGAATCTCCCGCAACCGGCGTGTTGGCGACACCGAGCCATGAATTGACTGTACGGAGGTGATTACGGTAGATACATTACCTACATACATACAAAGATATATGCGGTGCGGATCGATGGCTACCTCACCTACTCACCTCAGGTCGAGCGTGTCGGTAAGATGCAGGCTTTGTTTCGCCTGTCGTGGACTCGCGGGGTCAATAGATTATAGAAGGGACTAACAAGACCCTTCCAATGAGCGCCCGGGCTGATCGCAACCTGGTATTGCTCTTCTGTTTTGCTGGTGGCTTTTGACTGCGATCCAGGTGTCGCTTGCAGGTTGGGACGGGGATGGAGATTGGGCATTGAAGCTCTTCAGCCAGCCCAAAGCTAAGGTACCTTATCCGTCAGTGTGTGCAGAAATTACATATTTACAGTAAAATACGTAAGACAGCTAGGGCCCTGAGCTACCCCTCCAAAACATTTCATGGCGGGGTAATTCCTGCCCCTCCATAAAACACGGACAATGGCAATCCTACGGAGAGATTAACGATAACCACAATTGGACTAAGCTTAAGTGCCGGTATTTAAAAAGCGGCGGCCAAGGTTGCTAGATCCTCTCGCTTCATCCAAGGCCAGTTCAGAACATCTTGTTCAGGAGAAACCGAAACTTCATCAAGAGTTGGGCTATCGGCCTGACACACCCCGCAACTCCGATCTACTTACATGTGTAACGTCATGAAACGAGCTACAGGCCGACCTAGCTAAAGACAATGACATTTGTCAATTGAGCAGCATGCCGAGGTCTGTCCGGTTTCCGGGCACTGTGCCCAACGACACCTTCAACTGCGAGAAGGTAACCAACATTTACTACTGCACTCGCCTTGGGCTTGATTGGTTGCTTGAGGGTTGTGGCAGGCTGGCATCTTGCATCTTGCGCATGTACTGCTATGTACAGGGCCGAAAACAGGCAAGACCCCGTATGTGGGTCATGGCTTAAGCATCGTCGTATTGTATCAGCAGGAAGAACCTGAGTTAAGCCGCAGATAACCCATTGATTCCTTTATAAGCTGGGTGTACTCCGATGACCCTGAAACCCTCGAAATGCGGGTTTGCTCATTGACGAGATCTTTGTTCTTTCCTTACATAGGCATATGCCACCGATTGCCGTCCATCAAGCGGGCGTGCCTGGGCTTCCCGAACCTCGGGTATAGAACCACTTTGTGTCTTCAACATTGTGATCGCCCCTATCGCGTGGCGGGGGCAAGAGGCTGGGGGGCAAGGCAGGTAGTTGCTTAGGGAAACCTGGAAAGAAACGTTCCAGTCCGCATGCCCTGCACAGTAGACGAAATACAGTGTGGGCTCGTACTGGCGTAATTCATAAGGTAGTGTAGGAACTAGGAACCGGGCGCCAACCCAGGGCTTTATTAATAGCACATCGGTTGCCGGTCAAGTAACGCATCAAGAAACGCCGATTTTCTTTCCTACACCTATGGACTTCAGGTTGTCCCGAGATAGAACAACTAAACCCTATTAAAGGGAGAATTCTCCGAGGTTATCCTTATTGTACTGCTTCTACGATGCTCCTACAGGGTGCCTACGGTGACCGCCAAATTCAGCTGAAGAATATTAATTGAGCTGAACTCAACGTGACAAGAACATTAGCTAGTCTGGCTTACTGTAGTGTATGCGACAGGGACATGGTTAATCATTGTATGTACTGTACATCCAGCCGGGCGCATGGAGCCGTTGCGGATGCCGCACCTTTCCGGAGATGGTTCGAGACAGACAAGCGCTTGAGCTCAGTGCCTCGTTAGCACTGTCATCACGACGAGACAATTACTCGCCTTTGGTCTCTTTGACCTTTCACTGTGGGACTCTTGGAAATCATTGTTCCAACATGGGATGGCGACTACTTTGCTTTTCAACACTCTTACTACTATATCCATTTTGTTGAACTACGATCGTCTTCATTTTACTCAGCATGTTTCAACCTGGCATCCGACTTTCGGTTTGATCAGATGGCATGTGTGACAATACATAATGGCACTGTGCTGTGTGAGTGGGCTGCGCTAAACTCTGACAGGGAAAGCCAACGGCGCAACTGAACAGACTGCAGTGAAGCTTGCCGCAGCGACATGCAGCTCCAAGGTGCATTGCTCGTTTGCATGTCGCAAGCTTGGTCGGCTCACTTCTTGGCTCTGGCGCCGTATCCGTACACCAGATAATGTATGGGATTCGTTTGTGGCGGAAGAGCCTTTTGGATCCCCAACGATCCAGCCTGGCGACAAGATATGACATAGACGACGGCTTACTGAAGTGGTCATTCTAGCATGAAAGTGATTAGTGTAGATATCAGACGGGGAAAGCCACATTCCCTTCATTCAACACTTGGGAGGAAACAATCAGGCATATCTTGGTTGGGCATCCAAGCTTGCGCGTTCAGGTTGCTTAACGTTATCCACATATCCACACTCGGCCTGTATAGCCGTCGGAGTCAACCGAAAGATGAACCATCGAGAGCAAGACAAGTGAGCGGACCGGCGTCGCAGTTGATCTGTCAAGTTAATTCGGCGAGCCGTTGTCAGGAGTTATTCGGTGGTTGGAAGAAGGCGGCCGAGGCGGCTTGCGGGCATAGGTAAGGTAGTTGACAGCATGTATTTTGGAAACGGCATTGACCGGCATTGATGATGCTTGCGGAAGATAAACCACTTGGGTGCCCGCGATATATAATCCAATCCCTGAGACCGTGAGTAGCACTTACAACGACAATGCTGCAATCAAGCCGCAGGGGCCGCAATACGGCACATAATACGCCTGAACTGCTGCTACCCGCTGGATATGTCATCTCATCAGTCATTAACGTATGAACATGCTGAGTGTTAATGTATCCCGTTGTACCCCGTTCAAGCAACCTCATGAGTCACGACCAACTTGCCTCCTGGCTTACGCGCTACTTACACTACCCTTATGTAGAAGTAATACTGGGAACCAAGATTAACCAGGGTCGACCGTGGAGACAGACGTGACGGATCGCCCGCTCTGCCTTCGCGATTGAGGTGGTTGGCCGGTACCACGGGACCACTCTGCATCGATGGTGTGTTGCAGGCCCTGGCTGCTTCCTTCGCTGCTTCCCACAGCCTGCATTCACGCAAGAACGATACAGTGCCTGGGAACAAATACTGTACTGTATTGCTGTTCCCACTGCAGCTAGCCCAGCTCGGGCGTACTTCTCGCTCGGTCTAGGTGTCTGCCGCTGCTAACTGCCTGAACGTTAACGCTAAAAACCCAAGGTTGCCAGTGAACTGACTTCATTCGCCCACGCGAGACCCGAGAGACATTGCACCCCAATTTCGCCATCCGCCGCATCACACCGCTTTGGGCAATCCTGCCAAGCCCAGCCAGGGGCCCTTCACACTGGTGGACTTGGGCCCTGTGGTTCGCTCCCGCCTCGGCCTCTCCACCGACGCACAGCAGCCTATCTCAGGCCTGCCCTCACTCACCTCTCGCAACCGCCCGACTTTGCCTCTCCAACCGCCCCAAAAAGTGGGATGCGAAAAAGGACGAAAAAACAACAAGATCGGATTCTATACAGCGAGAAAGGCACCGACGACACAGAAGCCCAGCAATTGCATCTGAATAGCATGCGACGGTCGACGACGTCGTCGTGCTTCTCTCCGTCTCTCCCTCTTTAATAGCCTGGTCCCTAATCCCCACCGCTCCGCTTGCTCTGCCGCTCTCGCTGCCTCCTGTTGCTGCTCCCCACTCTCCTGCCTACTTTCTGCTCCGTTCTGTTCGCCGCACAGCTCGCGCCCCTCCAAATTCTCGCCGCACACACCTTGTTTGAATTACTCAAAATCCCGCCTTCCAGACGATGACTGTGTCCAACGACCCTGGCAGCAATCACGAGGCCGTTGCTGCCATGTCCAATTCGTCTTCGTCTTCCCCGGCCGCTGGCGGCAGTGCGCCCGTAGGCGATGAAACTGGTATGACCTCCCCCGCCAACGACAACCAGCGACCGCCATCAGCACCAGCAGGCTCCCGATTACTCGATGCCCCGCCTGTCACCCAAGCTCGTCCCTCTCGTACAGCAAGCTTCCCGTCTACCAGTTTAGAAATCTGTTACTGACACATTGGTTTTTGCGTGCGAAGCCTCGACCATTACCGTGAACACCAAGACGCCAGCCGCTTTTCCGCCGCCCAAGACGGACAAGCCTCGACCGCACACCTGCGGTACCTGCCAGCGCGCCTTCGCCCGGCTGGAACATCTGAAGCGTCATGAGCGGTCGCACACCAAGGAGAAGCCGTTTGAATGTCCCGAGTGCACACGGTGCTTTGCCCGTCGCGATCTTCTGCTGCGCCACCAGCAAAAGCTGCACCAGACAACCACCCCGTCGTCCCGTCCACGAAACCGCCGGGAGAGTGCCAGTGGGCCAACGCCAGGGGCCAGTCGGGTCCGCAAGAACAGCATCGCTGGCGCCAATGCCGCCGCCAATGCTGGGGCTGCCTCCATGAGGCCCAGGGCGAACACCATCAGCCACGTCGATGGTGCCCATATGCAGATGATGGCTGCGGCCAATGCCACCGTCTCGAGCCGCATTCCACCCACCCACAGCCGTCATCCGAGCCTGGTGGGGTTACCTACCCACGGCATCGATGCCTTTGGCATGGCCTCGGCTCTAGCCCACCGCGGAAACCCTCTGGGTCTCCCAAAGCTCGAAACCCATGGTATTAATGGCATGGACTTTTCGAGCGGACTTAGAACCGCCCCGCCTATGGCGTTCGGCTCCGAATTTGACTTTGAAGGGCTCTTCTTTGGTGCTGCTTCGGGCTCTACCATCAATCCGAACGCCCTGCACTATAGCGACTCGCCACCGTCCATGGTCATGGATCCGCTCTCTCCATTCCCGCATGGTCTCCCCGATTTGTCAGCCGGTCAGCAGATAGACGACGGCTTCGACTGGTTAACAGGCTTTGAGCACCACATGTCATTCAATAACGGGACTACCGAGGCTGCCGTGGACGGATCTTCGCCCTCCGCCATAAGCACCACGAGCCAGAGCGGGATCAGCGATGTCATGGTGGACGGGTCCAACCACCACACGGCTTCGGCCGGGTCGGGATCCATGTGGCAGTCGTCCATGATGCCACCTCCCCAGATGACCAACCCGTTTTCGCTCGACATGGGCAATTCCGTTTTTCCAGACCTCCTCAACGGGGCGCCTCTATCTCCGCAGCCATCGTCAGCCAAGACAATGGGCGACACGTACTTTTCGACCCCCCCGCCGGCTCTCAGCTCCTTGAGCTCGTCGGTCATGCCCGGCTTGAACGGCCAGACCCTGAATCAAGCGGTCAACTTTGGTGCCGGTCCCGAGACGCCGTCCTCGATGAATGGTAGTAATCATGGCACCTTACCCGTCTCGACAATCACTGATTCAACAAGAAATGCCATCCTAGGTGCCCTGTCGGCCTCCCAGGCGTCCCAATTTGGTGCGCGGAGATACTCGTTCGCCGCCACGCCCACCTCGCCGTTGACAACACAGCCGTCTCCGACTGCTAGCGCATCCGACCCAAGCAACAGCCTCCCGAGCACCCGAGACCTCCAGCGATATGTCGGGGCCTACTTGCGATTTTTCCACCCCCACCTGCCGTTTGTCCACATACCGACGCTATCATTCGAAATTCCTGCGCAATTGGCTAACGGGCGAGACAGCGGCATTGGAGGTACCGGGTGCTTGCTTCTTTCGATGGCGGCCATTGGTGCCCTGTTTGAGTTGGAGCATCAAGCGTCAATGGAACTATTTGGAATGGCCAAGAAGATGATTCAATTGTACCTCGACGAGAGGAGGAAAGCGAACGTAAGAAAGGCAGAATCTATCCGACGCGCTCCCGTGTCGGACCCCAGTTCACAGCAGCAGGACTCCCCGGTCGAGACTCCCGTGTGGTTAGTTCAGGCGATGCTCCTGAATGTCGTGTATGGCCATAACTGCGGGGATAAGCGATCCGGAGAGATTGCATCAACGCATGCAGCGGCATTAGTAAGTTTAGCGCACGGGGCCGAGTTGCTGCGGCCGGCGCGCGTTGAGCCGACCAAGGACGTTGAGATGGCGGATGCCGACGGCGCTGGTGGCTGGAACGGTTCAGGCAGGAAGGAGGGCGACGAGCTGGCCGAGTGGCTGCGCTGGAAGACCGTGGAGGAGCGGAAGCGGACGCTCTATGCTATCTTTATCCTGTCTAGCACCCTTGTGTCGGCGTATAATCACACGCCGGCGCTCACCAACTCAGAGATCCTTCTCGATCTTCCTTGCGACGAAGAGTTCTTCGCCGCCGAGAACGTCACGGCCTTCCGGGCGAAGGGCGGAGTATTAGCAGCTAATCACAACCGGATGACTTTCCATGAAGCGTTGGGAGAGCTCCTCCGCACCAACGAGAAGCAGCAGAAACGTGCCTTTACCAGCTCTGACGGAGGTTTCGGTTCGGCGGCTAATATCGACGACCTGCCCCCGAGCGATTTGAAACCAAGCAGCTTCGGCTGTTTGATCTTGATCAATGCGATACACAACTACATCTGGGAGACCCGCCAACGACACCACAACAAGGTTTGGACCAACGAGGAGACCGAGAAGATGCACCGCCATATCGAACCCGCGCTCCGGGCATGGCATGCCGCCTGGGCCAGCAACCCGCATCATAGCCCAGAGCGCCCGAATCCCTACGGTCTTGGCCCGCTCTCGGCCGACTGCATCCCACTGCTCGATCTCGCCTATGTTCGCCTGTTCGTCAACCTCTCTAGGGCCAAGGAGCAATTCTGGCAGCGGGACTGGGATGGTATGGCCGAGGAACTTGCACGTGGATCTGAGATTATCCAGCACGCCGAGCACTCGCCAGCGTCCAACAACGCTGATTCAGCTGTGGCCGAGCCGTCGGAAACACCAGGGGCAAGCTCGTTCCTTACTGACTCTTCGCTAAACATGTCTTCCTCCCCCAGTTTTGCGACCTCCAAGTTTTCTCCACCTAGTGCCATCAATCCTGCCCTAACCCAACATCCCACGCAATACCAAGCGCAGACATCCAGCAGCCGGTCCACGTCCCGCAAGGAGAAACACCTGCGGAAAGCCGCCTTTTTTGCAGCCGAGTCGCTTTCGGTTTCGGATCGGCTTGGTGTCACTTTTGCCAACCTGACAAGCCGTGAGCTTCCCCTACAGGCGACACTCTGCGTTTTTGACTGCGCCCAGGTGCTGGCGGAGTGGGTTGCAACTCTGCAGGACCGCGTAGGCCGCTATCTTGGGATCCTCGGTCGCGATAACGTTGATCTTGGGCAGGTTCCTGCAATTATGCTGTTGGAAGAAGAGGACGTGAAACTTTTAGGAAAAATCGACGAAATCATTCGTGGCGCAGAAGTCAAGATGAATATGGAAATGGCCCAGTCTGGCAGCGCGAGTAGCATCGACGGCAGACAGAAGATGGACGACAACCCGGGTTATGCTGCGAAACTCCTGCGAGTCACGGCTTACATGTTTGACAAAGCCGCTGTATGGCCTGGTAGGTGCTCTCTTGTGTCTCCGTTCCTCCCACAATTCGTTGACAACTCTGCAGTGACTCGGTTGATCACATCCTGCCTGGAGACCCATGCCAACCATATGCGCGCCCGTGCGGAAAAGTCAATCATGGCCCTCGACTAAATCGCGGATCAGCTGAGCGAAGCACCGGTAGATGAAGCCCATGGCTGAACTTCTTTCCCGTCATCTGGAATACGGTTTTCCGCTTGAGTCAGAGCTCGCATCCTCGGATTCCTATGTTCTCCCATCACATTTCGGCCGAATATGATACCCCCTATATTTCGTTCGTTTTTCTGTCCATGGTCAGGAAGCTGTTCCTCTCACCGGGGCCGCCACCTTGCTCGAGTCGGTTTCCGCGATATAACCAACGGTTTCTCTTTGCAACGTTCACTTGATGAAAATTATTTGGCGAGCTGTGCCAATCTAGACTGTTTGGCTCCACGGACAGCTACTGGGATTTGCCTGAGCCCTGTGGCCTGACATAGCTACGACGCATCTTCACATGTACATTGTTTGGGATGTTGGGCAAAAGGTTGGACTCAGCACGAGCTGAGCTGGGTAGTTGGGAAAAAAAAGAACTGCCCCATTTCCTTTGGGGTACTGGGTGGCCTGCTTGTGCTTCGACGGAGTACCGAAAATAGTATAAACCGCATGGCTCACGAGCAATGAGACGATCTGGCTTGGGCAGGTTTTTCCTCTTTTCTTTTTTCTTCTACTGCTCTATTATTTTCTTTTTGCGAGGTTCACGCATTCGCGGCGTATGGGAGTCAGTTCGGAACGATGGAATTCATAACTGCACATCGCAGTTGCCACAGAGGTACTCGCCTGGAGAAGAGAAAAGGTCGACGAGGATGGATGGGGAAGCCGTTTGTATATATCATTGCCAAGCTAGATGGGGAGAAAACCCAATGTCTTGATGTGGTTACACGGTGTGCTTATTTCTGCCTCTTAAGCAGGGTTGTCACTGGTTTGAAGGATCTGATCCAAAAGCCTTTCAAGACATCAACGATGATGGTAGTCCTTTGATCTTCATCACGGCATGGATGTGGACTGTCGGGCATTGCCGTACGAGAATTTTGCACTTCCTTCACCAGGGGGATCGACAGATTGAACCCAGTTTGAAGGCGAAGACGCTGGCGCATGAAGAAAATGCGGAATCTCTCGATGGATGGAGTTACTGTACGTCCGTCACAGCTCTTTCTTCATCTCTATCGGCTATCAGCAGCTGGCTTGTGGCAGCTCAGGTCTGGTTGTGTCGTTGTCGTTGACTCGTGGCAGTTTTGCTGCATGGAATGAACAGGATGTACTGTACAGTACTGTAATTACAATACAGATGTACATACATACAGTACTGTTCCTTACTTGTCCGATCATAATTTTGTACTGTATCGGTATTGAATTGCGAGGGATAGGCTTGCCAAAAGCCAGTTGAAGGATTGAAGCCCAGCCAATTTTCCCTTTTCTTCTTTCTCCCCTGAAATGCCCAAGCAAGAAAGCCCCTTTTGCGGGTTTCTAGTGCACGCTAGTCTAGACAGCCCTCCCCTGGCTTCGTTCTGCTTTTTGCCGGGAAATTGGCCACCTGCAAAAAGTTGCACAAGCTACACGACGCCCTGGTAGCCATTTTCAGTGGCTGCGAATGGTGGATGGTGGAGTCCAAGGGCCCCGAGAGGACCCTGAAAATGTATGGATTTTCTTGGTCTGGCCCTGTTGCAAGACGACTTGACATGACGGCGACAGCGATTTCCTGACGCTCAATCGGCTTTCTGCAACCATCCGTCCAATGTCGTTCACAGGACAAGCCCACTTCTCTTCCACGCTTCCCTTGATGTATCTGGGTCTCAGCGAGATTTCTTTCACGTTACTGTATCTATTGTACCAAGCACTCAAGCTACAGATAGACAATGGCCAATGGAAAAAGCGGAATCGACCCTATGTGGAAAAGTTTTGATAAGTCTGGCTGCAATCTTAATTAAATCCGCCCTGGTCTGAACATGGATGCGGCTCGCTTGCACCCCAACGTCGACTCGGCCAGACCCCGTCAATGTGGATTGTGGACATTGGCAATAAGCTATGGTGGCGTTGGCACCGTTTCGGGTACGGGCAGGGCACGACCAGGGGCCGATCAAAATGGTGAAAATCTCAAAAGACAAAATAGGTGTCCCTTCCGTGGTGTGCATGGGGGGAAGGAATCTTTCTGCTCTCTCTTCCTCTTCTCTCCCTCACCACCACCTAGTTCTTCCGCTTGTCCATCCTTACGATGGCAACCACTACCACAACGACGACCGCGACGACGACGAGAAGTCGCACGGCCAAGGGGGTTGCAGAGGCTAAGCTTACCACGACGCTCCCCGAGGAGGGCCTCCGGTATCCCGACATCCAGACCATCCGGGACGCAATCCCCGCGCACTGCTTCGTCCCATCAACATGGCGCTCGCTGGGCTATGTCGCCCGCGACGTGGCCATGACGGTGGGCCTCGGCTGGGCGGCGATGACCTACATCCCGCAGATCGACTCTTTGGCCTGGCGCACGGCCGCGTGGATCGTGTACGGGTACGTCCAGGGACTGGTATGCACGGGGATCTGGATTCTGGCACATGAGGCCGGACACGGGGCCTTCTCGGTTCACCGCCGACTGAACGACGCCGTCGGGTGGACGCTGCATTCAGCGCTGCTGGTGCCCTACTTCAGCTGGAAGTTCTCGCACCACCGCCACCACCGCTTCACGGGCCACATGGAGAAGGACATGGCCTTTGTCCCTGCCACCAAGGCCGACCGCGAGAAGCGCCGCCTGGTCGATCTGTACCTCGACCGCGAGCTGTTTGAGGACGTCCCTCTCGTGCAGCTCGTCAAGCTGCTGGCGCATCAGCTCGCCGCCTGGCAGATGTACCTGCTCTTCAATATCTCGGCCGGCAGAGGCAGCCAGCAGCGCAAAGCCAGCTGGTGGCGCCTCAGCCACTTTGAGCCCACCAGCGCCGTCTTCCGCCCGAGCGAGGCCTTTTATATCGCCCTGTCAGACCTGGGGCTCGCCATCGTAGGCGGCCTTCTGTACCTTGCGTCGACCGTTGTGGGCTGGAAGACCGTGTTCTTACTGTATGGCGTGCCGTACTTTTGGGTTCACCATTGGTTGGGTAGGTCTCCTGTTTTCTTCCGGTCCGAATGGCTTGTAGGCCAATGGACAAGACCGCTGACAATTCGCCAGTCGCCATCACCTATCTGCACCACACGCACCCGGAGGTCCATCACTTTGAAGCTGAGAGTTGGTCTTTCGTTAAAGGCGCCCTGGCCACCGTAGACCGCGACTTTGGCTTCGTAGGCCGTCACCTCTTCCATGGCATCATCGACACCCACGTTGTCCATCATCTTTTCCCGTCAGTTTGCCCTGCCTCACAACAGCCCGTACTTGGAAGACGTGGAATTGCTGACCCAGTAATAGGAGAATTCCGTTCTATTACGCCGAGGAGGCCACCGAAGCCATCAAACCGCTGCTGGGGGATTTGTACCATCGGGATGACCGGTCCTTCATGGGCCAGCTGTGGTCGACTTTCACAAAGTGCAAGTATGTTGAGGCGGACCCTGCAGTGCCTGGTGCACTGAAGTGGGCCAAGAGCAAGTAATCATCCAGGGAGGCTCTGGAAGGCGGCGTATCTTTGTGTGGTTGCTACGCCGTCAATACCATGACATGTCCGATATTAATAATAGACAAGACATGATAGAGATAGACATAGACATATAGAAATAGACCTGTACGTCGCGAAGACTTGGGCGCAAACCTAGAGTAGACGCGAAGTCTCAACCCAGCCCTCTCCAATGGTCGCTTGGAGGGTATTGACCCGGGCTCGGTGCTCCAACTCTGTTGGTTCAAGGTGAGATGGGTCTTTCCGCTCCAAAGGAAGCCTATGCTGGGCACGAATGTTGTCAGCTGCGAAGCCACCGCTGGCATTCCTGGGTTCGGCATCTGCGAGTCATCAGGCCAATCCGTAAACCTGATGACTGCAGTGACAGTCCGTAGGCCAACCCTCACATATCTCACTCCCTCTTCCCCTTCGTACTTGTCGCATCGCTACCGCCCCCTAAATCAAGTGTTGAGTCGCTGATGCCCGCAAGCCGGAAGCTAAAATCGACTACCCCAACCAGGCCGCTCACAGCTTTGACAAGGCCCTCGAGATCGTCGCAAACGAGCGTGGTGCACACTTGGAGCACCGCGAATTCAGCGTAGCCGGGCTGCTCCATATTGCGCGGGTCGAGGATGCTCGCCACCGCGGCATTGCGGCAAGCCCCACCGCTGCTCTCGCCATGGGAGTCAGCCAGCCCGGTGCGCGAATTTACCATCCTGATTGGGCCGGCATCACCATCGTCATCCCTGTCAGACACTGCGGGCGCAGCCGTCATGTCGTACGGTCGTGGGAGGGGCAAGAAAGGCGGGAGACGCTGACCTGAGAGCAGAGAGTTTGAGAGGAGGGTCAACGTGGACACTATGGCGTGGTGGGTTGGCTTGAGGGTGGTGAGGACCTCTGCAAGCGCGCTTAGCCACTCCCGGCTGCTGCTTGACATGGAGGAGGAGCGAGAGGCGAGAGGGACCGGGTTGCCCCGCGACCGAGGGCGTCTGGAGTCTCGCCTATCACGGTCCGCTCGGCCTCTCAAGCGGATAATGCAGGGGTGCATTAGCGTGTAGCTGACCAGCGTCAGATAAGCCATCACACGGGTGCTTCGAAGGATGATATCGTCGTAGGCCTCTCGCGGGAATTTGCCGCCAATGGTGGGCTCCCACTTTTGCCACTCAGAGTGCTGTGACATGGAAGGGATCAACATCATGACCTTGCCAAAAATCTTCCTGCCGATCTTTGACAACTGATGCGCCGGCGTGCCTGGAATGTTGACGTTGCCAGCCGTGCCGCGAACATTCGACTGAAGCGTTGAGCTGATGACGCCAAAGTAATTGGCCACAAGGTAAAGAGTAGCAGACAGGTCACGACGCAACCAGGTCCGGTCGGTTAGTGGCGATGGGAAGATGGTCCAGAAGAAAGCCACAAGGCTGCCACCTGCGACGCAGGCGAGGCGGTATGGCGCTAATAAGTATGTCCTACAACGTCAGTCAGCGGGGCGATGGGACGGCAGCTTGGAAATTGCCGAGGACAACGAGGGGGAAACGAACGAATAAACAGGTTGGCCGGTTTGTTCTGCAACCGCGCGGCCGATGGTAAGAACTTGGAGTTCGTAACCAATAATCAAGACCTGCGTGACGATGGCAATCATGACAGCCGGGACGAATCGGGGATACTTGATGAAGAAGTAGTAATGGAGGAAGAGGGAGAGCCAGAGGAACACTATGGCCCCCGGAATCCGTTCATCAACGATGTACCAGATGATAAGGGAGAAGCACATGGCCACGACCGTGCCCCCAACCCGGCAAAGGAAGCCGAAGAAGGACTGACCTGAGGCTGTCGGTTGTTGTTGATTAGTAGTGAAGATGAGAAAGCGGAAAGTTGGCGGAAACACTTACTCATAGTCATGCCGATAGCGATTATGATCATTGCCCAGACTAACCTCTGTTCCATGAAGAAGTGCTGTGTGCGCTCCAAAAAGGCCACGATCCCAACTGACATGGTCGCGCACGCCACTTTGAACCCAAACATGGACTCTTCGGACCCGAAAAACTTGGGAATCTTTCGCAAGCAATTGCCAAAGCGTTGCCAAGTCGTAGCAGGGGGAAGATGTTCGGGGTCCTTCTTCTGGTTGTACCCGTCTCCGAAGAAAACAATGTTTGCACCGGTCTCCATGATATCAGGCGCCTGTTCGGCCGAGGAGTCCTCGCTGCTAAACACAGCCAAGAACCACTTGCGCAGGCGGCGGAACGAAGGCTTGATGAGCCGTCTTTTGGACATTGTTCCGTCCCCGACCTTTTCGTCGGCAAATGCAACGAGTTCTTGGACAGCCACGCCAGAGGCATGCATCAGATTCTCCATGTAGAGGACGATGTTGAGTTGTGCTTGATCTCGCTCTCTGCGGAAGGAGGATCGGTTGTCATTCTCTTCGTCGAAATCAAAACCCCTCTCTCGAATCCACGTCCTCAGCAACTCTCCCTTCCTTGAGTGGAAGGCTTGGACTTTCTCGTCAATGACCCTGGCAAATCCTGGGTCGCCGGGCCTGAGTCCTTCGCCCGCCTCGATGTCAACTTTGTCAGGATCCCGGGCTGCCTTTCCGGCTTTTTTCGAGGCCTTTTTTGGGCGTGGGAGCAGCTCCAAGCACAATCCGGCATGTTCGAGTCCCTGATCAATAGCCTCAGACAATATCTCGAACGGGTCATGCATTTGTTTCATGACTTCGTTCCAAACATGTTTCTCCATGTCCTTCTCTTCCACAATCTCTCTTGGGGCATCCTTGGCAGTATCCCAGCCGCGATGCTCAGAAACGCGTTTGAAGATGTCAATGATGGTCATCATGCCCAGCCTGTCCATCGAGCGTTAGCAGGAAGTGGACCTCTTGGGGCAGAGTGAGCGGATGAGGTGACCAACACTGGAATGTAGACATTGCGGAAGAGGTTGGACAGCTCGCTCAGGTCTTTTGCGTCCAGCTTGCCCCATGCAATGTCGCGTTTGGCAAATGGCATGTCGGCATGCAGTTTTCCGGTGAGCTCTCTCATTTTTGCGCCTGCTTCCTGCAATGCTCTTGCTGCTTTTGCCTCCTTGGTCAACTTTGGCACCTCCGCACCCTGGCGCGATCCCTTGCCTCCCAGTTTCTCCAGCAGGGTCTCGGTACGGGTGGCAACGGCAAACATGTCTTCTGATTCGAGACCGATGAGATAGGATTTCTGCAATGAGACAATCTGCCTGAGCAAGCCGATACCGGCAGCGAATTGCTTGAAAACGACCAGGCGGCTGCTGACCGGGAAGATGAAAATGTTTACGGCCAGGGCCAGAGCGAGAGCAACCAGCATGGCTGTGAATAGCTGCTCAATGAAAGCCCTGGCGGCGCTTGTGGTTGCCATGAACGGGCCGTATGTTGTGGAAATGTTTACGAGGATGCTGTAGATGATGACGGGGATGTTGAAGGCCGGCAGCTTTGCGCGCACGACATTGCCAAACCAGATGTTGAAAAATAGCCAGACGGCGCATACGGCTGACTGACTGGAGTTGTATGGCGGGCGTGGAGAGGGTGGTGAGTCTGCAGGCGAAGTGTGATAGCGGGCTTGGACTGACGACCAGAGGGCCAACATGGACACGGCGGCGCCGAAGGTGACGGCGAGGAGATTGAGGACAAAGTTCATCATGAACTTGCCCCTCGGCAGCAAGGCTAGAGCGAGGACGCTGATGATAGGCACGATATAGCCCACGGTCTGGAAGTAAGACGATACTGCTGGGGCCTGGTACATGGCAATGCCTATCAACGGCGGAACGGAGCCTCTAGCAGGCACGTCCGGGTGGTTAGCGAAATTGGAGCCCGGTGGCTATAACTACGGATGATTCAATGAGCCCTTACTTGAACATGGCGCGCAGAGTGGGTTTGTCAAGCCCCAACCTGATGAAGAGAGCAGACAGACTCTTCTTCTTCTTCCCTTCGCCCAATGCCTCGTCATCGTCTGCTGTTGGGCCATCTGCCTCACTACCGCCCATGGCGCCCACCCGCCCACGACCTGAATAGTCTCCCGGCGAATCATGGTTCCCCTGGAGATGTGTGTGGTTCGCTGTTATGTTGGTGTTCTGACCTGTCATGGCGAGTAATTGAAGTCACTTGAGGAGACACGGGGTCGGAGAAGCAGCATCAGTTCCTGCTTGCGACAAAGATCGCAGCAAGAAGAGAGTTGACATGGATATCATAGAGAAGGCTCTTTGGTCGAGGCACACGAGGCCAGTGCCATGATGGGCCTCAAAAACATGCGTCATGGGTTGACGATCCCAGATCGGGAATTGCAGGGCAGATGCAACAGTGGGGATGCTGGGAAACATGGTGGAGTTCACCACCAGATCGGACTTGATTGACTCGGGACGGCACGGCAAGTGCAAGGCAGGGACCAGCGATAACATTGGAACCTGGAAGCAACTTCCAGTCCTCGCAAGGGCCCTTACTAATCGTAAGTACCGTACCCATTTCAGCTGCAAAATGAAGATGACTCTATTACTTTCACTGCGACCTTATCCAGGCACGGAGAGACCAATGCTGAACCCTCTTCCCATCGGCTCTCTCTACCTTTATGGTGCGTGTTGAGACCTAACGTAGCACCATGCTCGCTACGTGATTCCGGAGGTAGCGTAATTCAGGTACTAACTGAGCCCCATAATGCCAGGTAATACCGCTGAGCGTTGGTAATCCTCACCTCCACCGGCCATCCCACTGCCACGCAACGCACATCCACTGGGAATCCATCGATACTTCTCTCATGTCCCAACTGCGGTAGAGAAAGAGTTGGGGAGAAGCCCCCTAATGGAAGACCATCTCATAGTTCCATCCATTCCATACGGCGCTCGTTTGGCGGAAGTGTGCCAAAACCCAAAAACCACAAAACTTTTTTACTAGGCTCACACCGGGGCAGTAAGCTCTACCCCGTTAATTCTATTCAAATTCAATTTAAGAATTGCCCACCATCCTTCTTTTCATCCTACATCCTTTTTCCCAGTTACCACTTAGTTGTACCGGTATATATAGCGCGCTTAGGTAGCGTCTTCTCCTTTTTACCACTATAATATACATTAGAGGCTAGCAATTGTAGTAGTTATATAGCTTGTATACCCTGCGATTAAATTAAAGCGAATTCGCTAAGTGCCTAAGAATCGCATTTTCCAGGCAATTTAGCTAATTTAGTAAGGGAATTGCTCCCGGGGCACTAGCACTTTTTCCTGGGGGCACTAGTACCCCCCAGGGCTAGGGTTATCGCAAGCGCCCCGACTTTGAGGACTTCGAATCTTCCCAAGTCAACCACGCAACTTCCACCACTTCAAATCCCAGATTCCACCACATCAATCAATCAATTCGATCACGTCAAATTGATCCCTTTTTCCACTTCAAAATACCATGGCGAACCGAGCGCGTTATCGACATTCCCTATAAGTCAGATTCAGACGATGAATTCCCGCCCGTGGAAGTGCTCATGGCGCCAATTCTCGACCTCTCGAAACACTTCTCCGTCAAGGGCGCGCGACCGACAGCCTCAGCGACAGCTCCAGCGACAGCTCCAGCGACAGCTCCAGCCACCAGCCAGCGACGACGACTCTAAAGAAGAATAGAATCGTTTTCCCAATTCGCCCGCCACTCAGGAAGAGCAGGAAACCTCTAGAGATGAAGATAGCTCTAAGGATGAAGACAGCTCTAAGGATGAAGACAGCTCTAAGGATAACAGCTCTAAGGAGGATACTAGCGTCTACCAACCTATACCTCCATTAGGCGCCAGGTTTCTCGATCCACCCCAGGGTAACACACAAGGAAGTAAGGCCCGTCGGGCGCGAGGTTATAGGAGAGAGTACATTGTGTAGATGGATCTAAGCGTTCTATAACGATTCGAGTGTATTCAAGCGATTTGAGTGTATTCGAGCCATTTGAGTGTATTCAAGCCATTTGAGCGCCTTGCAGTAAGAGGGCATATTCGAGCAAATTGAGCCATTTGAGCCAGTTTTCGCGTTGAGCAGTAAGATAGGCGCGCGCAGTCAAATTAGGGGATGCGGATATACTAGCATTAACCCTAACCGTAGGGAGTACTAGTACCCCTAGGAAAAAGTGCTAGTGCCCTCAAAGCAATTCCTTTTAGTAAATTCGACTACTCTAGCGAATTTAACTACCCTAGCGAATTCGACTACCCTAGCCAATTCGACTACCCTAGGAACTCAACTACCTTAGCGAATTCGACTGCCCCTAGAATTTGACCACCCTAGCCAATTCTACTACTCTAGCTAATTCGACTACCCTAGGAATTCGACTGCCCTAGCGAATTCGACTGCCCTAGGAATTTAACCA